ATACTGAGATTCCTCCTCCATGACACATGCTTCCACCCACTAACTATATAGCTGTCGAGTTACCTTCGCATCTACAACATCATGAGTTGGCTCCAAGGGCGTTGAGTGACTTATATCCGAACTTACGACTGTTAATCTACCTAAAGGGTCGAGATGCTCCCACCTTGGCATCAAGATTCCCTTGCACTAACTTCACCACGGCAAAGAAGTCTTTGCTTGCCTATCGTATCCATCCGAGACAATAAGTTGACTTTCCCATAGAACCAGGGTTTTAAAAAACGGTCTGCGACCACGATTTCGGTCGCGATATAGCGGTTTTGCCGCTGTTCGAGTTACCTGCGACGGCCGCAATAGCGTCCGCGACGGTCGCAATAGCGCCCGCGACGGGCGCAATCACAATAAATCCGAAATAACTGAAAACGCGACCGCGACTTGAATCCCTCCATAAAACTGAACTAAAATCTGAATAAGATCCGATTTAACTCGTATCAAATCTAAATTATATATAGTCTAGACTTAAAATGATTTGACCGAAAATAATTTAACCTGAACTCGATTTGAACGTCATGTTTGTCACCTCTACCGTGATTAAAATAATTTTATTTATATCTCACGTGATAAAAGAACGCGTGAGAAGTGGTGGTGCACAACCTTTTCTTCGGACAGTACTTAATATTCTAACAAACATCCGTTATTTTAGAGTATTGTCCAAGAATAAAACGATTTTAATTTCCCTTGATTTTTTATTTTTTGGTTCGGTCTTCACACTCTTTTCAACTTCCCGTTCCTCGTTGAATTACATCTTTGGGGGGAAAACGTTTAGAAAAATTTGTGTTTCAAGTTTAGTTTCAATTCCATTAAATTTCAATATTTAAAAATTAACTTTGGTTAGTAATAAAGATTCAATTATTTGAATTTATTCTATTAATTTTGATTTTCTTATATTCTATTTAATTTAATTATCTGTATTTCATTACGTTCATGAACTATCTAAATTAAATATTTGAATTTAATTATCTTGATTGTTTGAATTATATAATTCAACTTGACAATAACTGAATAAAAAAAAACTAGACAATATAAAGGTGAACAAAATTATTCTAAAAAAAGATTCAAATAATTTATGAATAAAGTAAAAAATAAGACGTTTATATTTTTTACGCTGTTAGTTTTTTTAAAATAAAAAATATTCAAAATTACAATAAAATTCATAAACTAAATTTATAATTAGAATATTTTTATAACCAATAACATAAAATAACTAGTAATGTGTGATCATAGAAGGATCATACAATTAAAAAAATTAGAACTCATCCAAAAAATTCGAACAAAAGATAAATATAAATAAATTTGACTGCATTGGAAAATGAATCACAACGGAGTTAAACTATGAAAGATCAACAACAACTTCAAATTAGAATCGAACGTCGTAAGAAAACTATCTACGAACGTAAACTGTGTTTTCAAATCCAATTCAAGAGTTCAATACAAAGAATATCAATAAAATAATAAATAAATTTCATCTTAATCAATCATGACGACTTCAAATTCAACCCTAAAAAATTAAACGAATGAAAAAATAACTAAATAACCAATAAAAAAATAAAAAAAAATAAAAAAGACATAAAACCATGAAAAAAAGATAAAGAAAATCATGTCGTAAAGATAAAATTATTGAAAACTAAAAACGTTAAAAAATAAAAATATAATATAAAAAATATAAAATGTACCAAATTAAACATCAAAATTAAACTTAGGTGCTAAATAATATATTAATGCAAAACAAACAACTTTAATATTGGAGGGGAAAGAGATATCATCTAAGCCGGAGAAATATATCCAACCAAATACAGACAGCTACAGTTCTGTATGCAAAGAGAAGGAGCTTTTTTGTAGTACAAATAATAAATAACGCCTTTCTTCTTCACCTTCCTCACTCAAAAATGGTCTCTTTTCTGCATTTCTCACACTGCTTTTAATTCCCTTAACAACCTTCATTAAGATTACTTCACCCATTTTTTTCCTGAAAAAAAAGAAGGTAAAAAACCCATCTTCTTCAAAGCCTCACACTTTCAAAAAGCTTGACCTTTAACCCCCAGTTCAGAAATGTAAGTTACTTTCTCTGTACTTTGGAGCAAAAAGTTTACCCATTTCTTCTTTGTTTTTTTAGTTTTTATTTTTCTTTTGTTAGTTCTTCTTTCAGCTTGGTTTGACTTTGTTCTATGGCATTCTCTTCCACTTTTGTTTGCTTCTTTCTCTTATTTTCAATATAAATAATTTTCTTTCGAGTTGTTATTTTGAAATTTGAAGTGTGTTTAAGGTATGGTTTTTCGCTGTGGAAAGATGCTTTGTCTTAAAGGTGTTATAATGGGTTGGTGAGTATGTGGACCTGGTTTTCACTACCCATCTTCTTCTTTTATATCTTCACCATGACGCCTTTTTCTTCGTTTCCCGTGGTTTGGTAAGCTGTAAAAGTAAAACAGCTTGCATTTTTGTCTCTTTTCCTTTTCAAGTTCTCATCTTTTTTCAAAATTTTCAACCATTTCTTTTCATGCTTTTGCTTCTTCTCTTTCCTCTCTTCATCAGTATTTCTACTAGTTCCTCTCTTTGCTTTGTTTTCTGCCTGAATTCCTTAGGGTTTTCCAAGATATATATGCTTTTTAGTTGTTTAACGTTCACCCAACTTGTAGCTCCTTTTGGTACTTAAATTTTGGCAGGAAAGTTCATTTGAAGGCAAATTGAAGTATTGGTTATTGGACCTAAATGCATGGATCGAAGGGATGTCATGGCAGTATCAGGATCCGCATCTTATTATATGCAACAGAGAGGGATATCCGGGTCGGGGTCCGAAATGGAGTCCGGGATGCATGGATCACAAGGCATTCATCCATTATCTAATCCAAATGTACAATACCAATCAAGTATTCGACCCCCTACAACTATAGAGTCCACCTTACCTTTAGAGTCTCCATCAGGGATTACCCCTCATAGTATCGATGTAGACACACCTTCAGCAGTGCCACCGAGTGAGGCAGTGAAACGGAAAAGAGGAAGGCCCCGGAAGTACGGACCCGATGGCGCCGTCTCCTTGGCGCTGAGTCCTGCATCGGCTACTCGTCCTGCGACAATAACACCGGGCCAAAAACGGGGAAGAGGGCGGCCACCGGGTACCGGGAGGAAGCAACAGTTAGCTTCCCTTGGTAAGATATTTTGCCCCCCTCTTTTATAAATGTGTAAAGCATGAGCATGAGGAATGTAACTTGTAGTGGCGGTTTAACTTGTAGTGTTTTTAATCAGGCTTATACCAACTGATCTGCTTCAATTGGGTAATGCATTGTTCTTGCTATGTGAATGACGTTGCAAATATCTAATTGTTCTGCTAGGTGAATGGCTGTCCGTTTCAGCTGGGATGGGTTTTACACCACATGTCATCACTGTTGCAATAGGAGAAGTATGCAGTTTTATTTTATTAATTAGTACATCGATTTCGACCGCATTACTTCGAGATATAAATTGTTCAAATGAAGTATAACTTTTCATGTAGGATGTTGCTGCAAAAATACTGTCGTTTTCACAGCAAAGGCGTCGAGCAGTATGCATTTTGTCCGCCAATGGGGCTATCTCTACCGTAACTCTTCTTCAGCCATCATCTTCAGGTGGCTCTGTTACATATGAGGTTTGGGTACTCGATAACCCGATTCTTGATTTCTTGTATTGTTTTGCAGGAGCTAGGTAGCATAAGACTATTTTGCCTTCTAGACAAGGCATACTTGGACTTCATATACTGTCCAAAATTCTTACATATAAACTCTTTTTATGTTTCTTTTCGGAACTCAGTAATCTTGATGCAATGTTCAGTCGAAAAGCGTATATACTTGTCTGTTTTGATATCTGCAGGGGCAATTTGAGATATTATGTCTGTCAGGCTCCTACCTTCTAACCAGCAATAGTGGCTCTTGCAATCGAACTGGTTGTCTAAGTGTTTCCCTTGCCACTCCTGATGGCCGCATCATCGGTGGAGGTGTTGGAGGGATGCTCATTGCAGCAAGCCCGGTTCAGGTAACTCTCGGTTGCTATGATATATACTATTCTATCTGTAAATTAACTCTCTTCTCTACGTGGAGGATTAGACCTTCTATGGGTTAATTCTGCCTTATATGAATGAACCAGGTGATTGTTGGAAGTTTTATATGGGGTGGTTCAAAGACAAAGAAGAAGAAACCAGAAGGTAAAGAATGTCTTAATGACTCGGATAATCAGAGTGCCGACAATCTTGTATCTCCGTCTGGCATTTCGCCAAGTCAAAATCTGATTCCGACTCCGCCAGCAGGTGTATGGCCTGGTTCACGAACGATGGATATGCATAATACCCACGTCGACATTGACCTAATGCGAGGATGACATGTACCTCGAATACTTTCATGAGCAATGCACATAAATTGTTGTTGAAGGCAAACCTGACTGTAATTCGAAAGTCCTACGGGGCAGCCTGATTTTCGGCTTGAGGAAATCTCCCTTAATTTTGATAATCACAATGGCGGACAACGGAGGTTTCCTCAGATATTTGTAGCTTAATGACTGTTAGAACTCACGATTTCAACTGATCCCCGGAGGTATCTTTTCGTTTCTCCAATATGAACCAATTTAAGAAAGCCATGCTTCACTTATCTATATGGGCAGCCATGGTTTCAAGTCTTCTATATTTCTCCTTATGACAATGTACCATGATCTTGTTGGCTTTAAGCTTATACGGAACATTCAGACAAATTATAAATTGAATAATCGCAAGTATCGCTCTATATTTTGATGTTTTGGGGTTGATCGAAACTCACAGATTCTAGGATTTTTGCAATCTCTATAAATAAAATAGGACACCAGAATTCATAAACAGACGGTCACAATCTGGTGGATGGTGACAATTTCTAACAGTTATTTCATATATATTTTTGTCCCATAAAGTTTAAAGCTGCATCTGCGTTCGCCAAAATACGACATGCAACAACAAAAAATGACCGCTTTACAACCAGAATCTAAACCGACAGTTCCCGGAACACCTCATGACCTACAACATACTATCAGTCCTTGCAGGCAGACGACGGAAGAAATTGATCGGTGGTGGAGGTGTCTTGTGGCGGAACCTGGGATGCCTCATAATGTAAAACCCAGAAAGAAGAGCAATCACCTGAAATGGTGTGACATACAAAACAATGGCTGCCACAAGACATAATATAACAGATATAGTTGTGGCACGAGGATCCCGCCAACTCAGTAATGACTGAAGCCGCTCACCCTGGCTAGCTATGTCACCTACAACAGTCTGAATCCTCCCTGCAACACTCCTTAAACGATCATACCTCATCCGAACTATATCTGAGCTTTTCGTTGCAGGAAAGGACTCAAATTCTTCGTCCAGTTCATCAGTAGAAACTGCATTGGCACAAGACAGACTTGTGTTCATGTGAGGAGGGTACCTCGGCCGATAACGATAATTCCATACACCTACGAGGAACATGTATAAGAAAACTGTGGGTAGAATCAGCTCCGGGAAACAAACAAGCATTGCAAATAGCACATGCACCAGCACTGTTGTAATAGGATTCTTCCACATGCAAACTTCACCAAACCATTTTCCAGCTGCAAATAATCCCGAGCAAACCGACGTCAGTCGCAAAAAGTTTGCCTTGCTGCGCCTCATGCTCCAAAGGTGAGCATTTGCATCAGACATATATTCAACTACTTCTCTCCTAAGAGGAGGTTCGGCCCGACCAAGTCGAGCTGCCACAATATTAACGGCTTGGTGTCGCAGTATGTCCTGCTGCATCACATTCAATGGCCTTTTGTAATGCATCTTTGGCAGAAGGGGTCGCGAGTATTGGAGCATCATATTAACCATTGATGTCGATGAAAATCGTATTGCCAAATGTAATTCACCAAGTTTCTTGACACCAGAAGGGTGAAGAACCAGCAGCGGGTAAGTGTGGGTGTAAACACGACCAGTTTCGAGTGTAGATAAGCGAATCCGCACCTTTCCAATTTTATTATCTCTGTTATTATCAGAACCTCCAATCTGAGAGTTATCAAAGACTCCCACAGTGAGAACAGTGGCTGGATCATAAACTTCCCATGTGTACTGCTCATTATATTTTGGATTCAGGCTGTTGACTATGGTTCGAGTTCTAACCCATTTGTGGCCGTATTTTGCAACACAATATGTATCACACGTACCTTTTCCTTCTCTCGTTTTCATTGGTTGAAGCCCATCGGCATTCAAAATTCCGAGTTCTAAAATACCAATTGATGGTTTCCAGAGCTGCTTTGCTGTTGGCCGGAGATCACTGCTATACTGAGTTGACTCATCAAGAACATGGTATCCTCCATCAAGGCAAACATAAACATGGAGCCTACTACGAAATTTATCCTTATCCTTCTTTGCACGATCGCCATCCATAGCATCTGAAAAAGACCTCTCCAGATTGTACCATCGGGAACGAATAGTTCGATCATCAGCACGCCTATCAACGGAGTTCAATGATATAACAACCTTTCCAATGGCGTCATCCTTATTAGGACCCACACGATCTTCAACTGAAAAAATCAGATGATCTTCAAAGGGTTCCGCAGCAACAAGCATAAACTCCTCATTCCAGATCGGATTCATAATTCGGTTTTGAACAGGTTTTGTCTTTAAGATCTGGTTACCAATTTGAACCTTAACATATGCATCAGGAAACCTGTTATTGTCAGCTGGAACAAGGTCTTGAGCCTCAATAACATTGACACGGACATACCATAGTCTCGGAGAGTGATAAACTTTTGAACGGATGTATGTTGGGGAAACCGAAGTGTTATCACCGGGAGCAATAGCATCCGAATGCCACGCATCTGGAAAAGCCTCATCAGCCTGTGTGCCATACCAAACTGCAAGCATCAGTTCTCCTTTCTTTTTCTCTCCTTTCTTGTCTTCCAACCGATACCATTCCGGAGCCAATGGACTGTCCGGTGGAACTCTCGTGGGAACCTCATTGAGATCAAATCGCACAAACCCGACAGAGTCATCTTTCACTAAATCCTTATCCTTGACAACAACTTCTAGCACAAATGACTGCAGCGTGTCCCTTGAAAAGGCAAACACCTGATTCCATTCTGGATTTTGTTTCTTCTCATAATGCTTTGTGATTCCTTTGTAGTTTCCAACTTTCACTTCGACATACGGATCAAGGCTTCCAGTCACATCCTTTGAAGGAAGATCTCGGGCTTTCACCACTCGCACAAAAAGGAATCTCATCTGTTCAACAAGGTCATAGGTGCTAGTTGGTCTGTCTCCTCGTATGACTCGGCCTCCAACAATTCGTCCTCCTCCGAGAAATGGACTTGTCTCTTTAAGAGCAAAATCAAGTGGTTGTGATGATGAACCCGAGAACATGTGAACGGCTCTTGATGGTGGCGGTCCAGATCTCATCTCATGTACTCCATAATTCATCTGTTGTTGCGGAGGCATTGTAGTAAACTTTTGCTGCTGTTCCGACTGCTTTGCATTTGGAAGATGATTAAATGTATGTCTTTTACCATTTTTCTCTTTGGGAAATGAATTTGGGACTGCTTCCTCCGTGGCTGGAAGAGGAGTCGAGGATTTGATCGAAGGGTCATCAGTAACAAACACTTTCAAACCAAGCTCTCCTTTAGCACGAGAGAAAACAGTCCGTTTTTCAAGAGGGTAGTGCAAAACAACAGCATCGGTATACTGCACAAATGATGTTGAGGTGAGGCGAACCTTCCCAAGACAGGTTTTAGCATTGTTTGCTTTGTTATAGCTGTAAACATAAGCTTCAAGTGGGAGACTAGACAACTTGTTCGGATCAGAGACGTTGAAATAGAAACTCTCGTTCCAAACCGGACTGAGATCTTTCTCTTTAGTAGTGGTGCGAAATCGCTGGCCATCGAACTCAAGCTCCACATAGGGATTGGATGAACCCTGCCCATCTTTGGCTAACAGGTCATAGGCGCTCACCACCTCCACCCCTAACTTGAGACTACTCATGGTTCGAATCAATCGAAGCAGAACACAAAACAATTTAGCCGCTATCCGTAGTCGTCTGTGAACTAAACAATACCAGAAGAAAAGAAGGAAAACTAATAGTTCAACAGCAGAAGGATGAAAGAACTAAAAATTCAAAAAGGACACAATAACAAAGGAAAAGAACAATAACACACTAGAATCAGAATTAGCTTAAACAGCAATATAATCCTTTTATATAAATAACTTTATTTTATTTTCCAATTTAGATTCTCCAAATTCTGGATCAAGTGAGCAATATAGAATCTTAATGTTATCATGTCAAATTATAAAAAAAGGAAAGGAAAGCGAGTTAAGATTCCATACAGAGATCAAAAAGGGAAATAAACCCATGAATCTTTCTCAAACTAAGCAAGATTTTGTGAAAAAGCTACCATATTTTTAGTTGACATCAGAGAATACACACACACACACACAAACAAAGAATCATTTAAAGCCTTAAGAATCTCGTTTCCATCTCCAAAATCCAGGAAGGGGACGAGTATATCGGGGATTCTTTCAAATACTTTTTTGTTTGTCTTTCCCAAAAAACAAAAGATACACACTAGAAAACCTTTTATCAACCAAGCTCAGTCTCTGTTTCTTTCATGGGAAACAATTACTGGGTTTAAGAAACTTGTAGCCAAAGCTCATCTGATTTGTTTTTTTCTTTAAGATTCAACAAAGTAGAAAAAGAATCAACTTACTTTTCCAGTCTCAAATGAAAGAACACCCAATAATCTGATCTCAAATGGTAGAAAAACCTGAAATGAACAATTAAAAAAATAAGATAATCGAACCTTACGAAAAGTAAGAAAATTGAAGAGACTAAGTAAAAACTGACCTCTGTTTAAAAAGCTGAAAGCTTTGGTTAGTAAAGTGAAAGGAAGCCGGAAACTATATATGGTGGAAATGGAATCTATGAAACTTAGGAGAGAAGGAGATTATTACTACTTTTTTTTTTTAAAAAAAAGGAAAATACTGGTTGACTGTGAGGACGAGAGTCGTCTAAATCGACTTGAATGATTCTTGCTGAAAAATCATAACCAAATAAGGGGTTCACTGTTTAAATTTACATAGGCTATTTATGCTTCCAGTCCTTGTATTCTTTGCACATTAAAAGTTTAGTACAATTTAAACCGATTGAGCTTCAGTTTCTAAAATTAAAATGAATTAAATTTCAAATATATAAAACTACAGGGACTGATAATGAAATTAGATCATGTAACTATCACTTCCAACGTCCCCTTTTTTTTGTTTTCCTTTTTACCAGTCCTAATCCTATACGACAACGATACGAATGTTGGCGTGGTTTTAAATTTTAAACACTCCCCAATGTGTCCGTTACTTATACGCGCTGCACTTTGTTGACACGCGTTGAATTATCTTCACCCACCAATTGTTTTTCGTTTGAATAATCTTTAATTTGATTTAGCGTGTCCTTTAAAATATTGCGACAACTTAACTGAAAATTGGATGATTGGCTAAAATGTTAAACAAAATTTATTTTTTTAATAATTTCTTTTTCATTTAAAAAAAGATAAAAAAAGAGAGAAAAGATACTGAAATAATTAATTAACAGACCAGATAAACGGTGTAATATACCAGTTAATATTTTTTAATTATTATTTTGTTAAATAAAACATTGCCGATTTTTTTAAAAATATTAAATTAATATTTGGGGACACTTGTTAATGTTCTTTAAAAATAATTAATTGACTGATTAAAGGATAAAAATATATGTTTTTATTTTATAAATATGAGGTCAGTATTTATTTAAATACTCTCAATTATTTGACAATAGATGTTTATACTCTCGCATATATGATACTTAAACTTAAGATGTCAAGTGATAACAATAAATCTCTTAATCATTGAGGTTTCTTAATTCATACAATATTTGATATCTTTAAAATTTTCAAATTCAAGCAGCTAAGTCTACAAAATATATCTATTATCAATAAATTAGAAAAAAAATTAAATATATATTATTTTTTATAATCTTCATAAACTTAAAAACAATAATTAATAAATACCGTGGACCATATATATCGGTCCAAAACAGTGTGATGCTTCCTTTCTCCCCTCATTTTCAGATTTTAGTTACGTGATCAACACAAACTTAAGAGGCAAAAATGAAATAGAAAGAGTAAGGGGTTGTTTGTTCACTTCAGAATTATTAAGTGCATGATTCAAAAACTGAATGATTTAGAGATTCTGTATGAATTAGTTTTGAATGTGACATGTTGTTTGATAATGGCTCTGAATCATTCATAATATACTTTTGTGTTGAATCATTCAGCACTGTTTTACTGAATCTTTCAGAGGTACGAAACAAACATGCTGAATGAATACTGTACGTTTCAGCATTCAACTCTAAATAATTTCATTAATAGACAAGCAAACATCCCTAAGGTTAAAAAAATAATAAATGAAAATACCAATAAAATAAAGCAAACTTTCTGGTGAAAGGGTTTAGGGTCTGTGCTATAATTAATATTTAATAAGATTAAATAATTGAGTCCCATCAACAATAAGTTTATTTCAAATTTTATTTTCGTCTCTTTACTATAAAAACTTTTTAATCTCTATATTATACTTGAAAAAATTGTATTATGTCCTTTTACTATAAGAAAATATATTTTAACTTTATACATTTTAGAAAAATAATATTTTGATCTAAGTATTAAATTATTTTTAGTTGACTAAATATTTTGATTAATCACTCTTTTCATCCCTCTCAACTTTAAATTCAAACAAATTAATCTATGATTTTACGTAAAATCTTTAAACACTTATGAAATATTAATGTAAAATTAATTCATATTCTAACTCTAAACTTTGTTCACTTCACTTACAATAATATTATGATTACACGTTAAATTATAAAACAAATATACATTAAATATTTTCAAAAAGAAATTAGATTTGGAGTGAGAGTGAGGATTGAATTGAAAAATATGATATAAAAATAAAAAAACATTTAAAAAATATTATATTATATTTTTTTGTTTAGTTTTATTTAAAATATTATCCAATCACAGCTAGGCACATGTCATGTAATGACAGAAAATATTAATATCACCATAAGTTATTTTTATTTATTTACTTTTAAAATTTACATTGAATAAATTATTTTCTCTTTTCAAGAGGGTCATTTTGCTTAATTAAAAAATTGATAGCGACTAAAAGGGTGTTTAAACCAAAAAAAAAATAAACCAACTAACTATAATTTTTAAATTTTGGACCAAAAAATTCACTTTTTAAATTTACAAGACTAAAATGTACTCTCTCTTTTTAATTTAGTCTATTAACTTTATATTTTACTTAATTTGATTGTATGAATATAATTGTTTACAAATTCTTTATTCTCATCAATTTATTGATTTATTTATACTCTTTTTTTAATCTTAGATTGTATTTGATATTTTAAATACCATTATAAAAAAAAATGAATATATATATATATATATATATATATATATATATATCTTATATGGTTAGAGAAAGTAAAAATATTAAAATCAATATGTATCATAATACTATAAATAATTATAATTAAATTTATATAAAAACTCGAACAACTCAAATTTCATAAACTTGACTCGACTCGAAAAAAAAATTAAATTAAGTTTGAGTCTTAAAATATGACTCATCAACTCGAATAACTTAAAAAAAATTTAACTTAACTCGATCAAATATTCACCTTTATGCATATTCAATCGTTTAGGTAATTAATCAATTGTCTTAGAAAGGGTTCCGCATTTTCATCATGTTAACTTAACAAATTAATTGTAACCACATTTTGGTTTGGAGATGGTTCAGAAATGATTAGGGACGCAAAAGAGAATGGCTTGTTCCCAAGTTTTCATACCTTTTGAAGTGGCAAAATAAATAACAATTACTTTTCTACAGATTTGCATTTTAATACAAGTACTCTTGGGTTTGTGTTTATTTATTCATTTACTTATTTAGAATTATTATTTTTTATCTTTCACTTTTACAATCTGTCTTAAACTATTGTAACATATCATTTGCTATTTATTCAATTATTTGTTAAAATATATGATAGTAGATTAAAATTATTTATAAAAAAATATAATGTATTAAATGTTGTGGAAGACGGCTATCGGATAGAGCAAAATCGCAACTGATAATTTGAGAAAATAAAAATGAAGATAAAAGAGACACAAAATTTACGTGTAAAACCCCTAAAAATTTAGGGTAAAAACCACGGGCAACGGTAGAAGAATTTCACTATGAGAAAATAGGAATTACAACCTCTCTCGATCTACCAAGGAGAAAACAATGATAATTCTCTCTCGATAAAAAGGAGAAAACAACTCTCAAGAAACTCTCTAAATTCTCTAGTATTGGAAGAGAGCTAGAATGCTTTGGGATGGTTTTGAAGCTAAATGAGCTAGGGTATTTATAGTTGAAGCTTTAAGAACTAATTTATAAATATCCTAAATTACAATGGCTAAAATTGAAGTTCTACCATTTTCAAAATTCAGCAATAGCTGCTGTCCCTTTTTTTTCCAAGCAGCATCGAAAGTTACATTTATTATGCACACTTAAATGTAACTTTCAGTGCATAGTCAACATTAAATAATTATTCATATTAATAAAATATTAACAATATCTGTACATATATACATTAATGTTATAAAACTATTAATATTGTAAACTATTATATTCTGTGTTTTAATTCCACAAACATTACAATTGAAATTTTTTAAAGAACGTAAATTTAAATACGTTTACATATTTGAAAAATAAAAATATTATTAAGAAAACTGGCGAATTACGTGGAAGATTAGATGACTAATAATGATATTATACTTAGAATTTTTTTTTTTTATAATGGTTTCAGAAATTGTTACGAACCTTATCAACTGATGCCATCAGATCAGTATTGGCACGTATCTTTTATTTTATAATAATAATTTGATTTTTTATACCTATTGATAAATAATTATTTCAATCAAATTTAAAATTGAATATCAATTAAAATGAAAAAGACACCAATCCTCTAAATTATTTATGGATTTTTAAATTGCACCACACAACGTGGCAAAATTAAAAGCGCGATGAGCAAACGGAATTCTGTAATTAACCTTTTATTCCCGGGGGAAATAAAATCTCTCATCCCCTACCTAGCTTTCACTATTATTTTCCAAAATAATTTATAAGGGGAAAAAACACAGTTATCCTTGATTTCTGAATTGAATCTTCCTTTCCTCACTCTCTATTGGACATCAAAATGGTATGCCCCAAAACCTCTTTCTATCAATCAAATGGATTTATCTTTTATAATATTATTATTAAGAGAAAATCGCCTCAGTGACCAAAAAAAAGTTATAATATACGATTTTAACCAACTTTTTTTGGATTTGCGAAAATGACCAACAAAATCGCAACGCGAAATAAAAATCGCAACGCGATTTAGAAAATCGCAACGTTGAAAAGAAAATCGCAACGGTCAAAAGAAAATCGCAACGCGATATTCTTCCAAGAATCGCAACGCGATTCCAAGAATCGCAACGCGATTCAGAAAATGAGTAAATTCTTTCAAAAGCTATTGTATTTGTTTCTTTCTTAAGAATTTTCTCTAAAAAGATAGTATCCGCGCGAACGTGTCGAAGACACGTATTACCACGACCACGACCACGACCACGACCACGACCACGACCACGACCACGACCCGAGACGAGACGGCGGCGGCGGCGCGCGAGAGTCCCCCTTGTTCTCTTTCACTCAACAAGGAAATGGGAAATCCAAGCCTTAAATACTCTTCCCAATAGTGTTTCCAATACTATGTGGGATTGAGCATTACTCAACACTTCAAAGAAAATATAGCAATTTTTGTAGCATGTTTCCCGCTTAATCCATATTTAAAAATATTAAAACATTTTATCATATTAAAACTATATGTATAAGTTTGAATTGAAATGTAGATATCTACAACTATTTATGTTATTGCGGTTCTAAGAAAATCGACAAACGTCAAAATCTTAAGATCTAGAATGTGTTGTTTACTTCTTTTTTTATTATAGATTTTATCGAGAATTATTTTAATATAAATTTGTAGGTTTGTTTGATTGATATTTTGTATTCTACTTGATTATTTAGGTTTGGATTTTTTCACATATTGCATTTGTTATTGTTAGGCAAATTCATCATCTGGAATGGGTGTGGGTGACGATTGCAAGCTCAAGTTCTTGGAATTAAAAGCGAAGCGAAACCATCGGTTTATTCTGTACAAGATTGACGAAACGACACGAGAGGTGGTGGTAGAGAAATTGGGAGGTCCCCAAGATATCGAGGCCTTGCCTGAAAACCAATGCCGTTACGCTGTCTTTGATTACGATTTCGTTACCGACGAGAATTGTCAGAAATCCAAGATTTTCTTCTTTACATGGTACTATGATTAAACACACTCGTTTTTGAATCTGTTATAAAAAAAAATGTTAAAGAGTATTTTGTGGTGGGAATAGGGCACCTGATACGTCAAGGGTGAGGAGCAAGATGCTTTATGCAAGCTCAAAGGACAAATTCAAGCGGCAATTGGATGGGATTCAATTTGAGCTGCAAGCAACCGATCTTAGTGAACTCAGCTTGGACATCATCAAAGATCGAGCTCACTGATTCCATTCATGCCATTTCCATTACACTTTTTTATTATTTATTTGCAAGAGCTATTTTTTTTAAAGATATAAAAAAGATGATTGTATGAATAAACCAATTAGAATCTAAATTTAATATCTAAGCTACGGAAAACTCACTAGACTATCCAATATATTTGAAGTATCGTGTCTTGGTATTTAATTTACTTTTGCTATTGGCTTTTCTTATGGGTCATTAGTCCTGCAATGGTATCATGAATTGATATGTTATCGGCCAACATTATAACGGTCAATATTATAACGGCCAACAATAGAAATTGTTAGTCAAAAAATTATATATATTTTTTGAGCTTGAGAGTCACATTAAGTGTAAAAATAATTTGAGAATTGTATTATTTTTTTAAAGAAGTTCGAGGAACTCAAATTATCATATACCATTAAACCTTAAAAAATATATATAAATTTTGGTTGAGTATATAATGTTATATATTAATTATTTTTGAAAAAGTTTAAGGACCTTACATTATCACATACCATTAAAAATAACTCATATCTAACACGTGTGTTAATATATTTTTAAAAGGTAAAAAAAAATTCTTTTCAAAAAATTGTCCCTCGGTCCCCCCCAGCCCCCAAAACGACCCCACCCACCCACACGTTCCCTTTCCCGTTGCCCACCGTTTCCCTAGATTTCTTTTTCTTAATTCCCTCCCTCCCTCCATCTTTCTCTTTCATCCCAAAATACCAATAATTTAAGAGTAGGGATCTAAGGTTTAGTGATTTAGGAGTTCAGGGTAATGCAAGGGTGATGACTGATCAATGATCGAACATTGACATGTAGGTAATTTTTCAATGACGGAAATGGTAGCGGGAGATGACTAGAGAAATTTGAAAATAAGTTTGAAATCAAGGATTTTAGAGTTTTTTATTTTATAGAAATTTGATTTTTTTATAGATAAGTCATAATTTTAAGTTTTTTATTTCAAAATAAAAATTTTAAAATTTTATAAAGTTAACACATGTCAGATAACAACTAAATTTAACGATACTGATGGATAATACACCTAAAAGTTTAACAAAAAAATAGTTAGACATATTTTTAACGAAAAATATTTTAGACATAAATTTAATTTAATATATAACTTGAGCACTTATTTTTGCATTAAACCTATTATATATAATAAACAAACTGCTTCAATGGTTTAGTCACATAGCATAGGTGAAAAGTCAGGCATAAAACTAGGTTTGCCACTAAAATCTGGATCATAATTCAAGCAATAGTGGTAACATTATATAAAATAACAATGCCTTCAGGTGTGGCATATTAGCACCAATGTCAACAGTTTTCCAGGAAGCTCATGTCATTGTTAATGGGGAAATCCAACAGCAATTGCAATGCAGTGTCCGATGAATCTTCAGACTCGTTCGAGCAAGATGAATCCGATCCGTCCATTGGTTCCTCAGTGACTGACTTGAAGCTCTTACACTCTGTTTCCTCGATTTGATTGCTTGCTGGGGTTGAGGAACCTGCTATGTTGGGGCAGGCATCGACCGTAACAGCCGATGAAGATGCCTGTGATATCGGGCTTCGACAAGCAGTCGAATGTTCCGTGTTCAACTTACGAAACGATTCACCGACCTCCGAATTCCATAACCGAAGAAAATAATCCGAGTCTGGTTTCAGAAACGGCGGATAATTAGAGTGCAATGAATCCTTGGAGAGGCGAGCCTCCGCTTCGAGTCTAGCACTCTCCCATTGAGCCATGTGGCGAGTCCCGGGAGATGAAGGTGCGGCTACGGTTGGACCGCCGCAAGGGGGAAAGGGCTTGTGAGTTTGTGGATCAATCCCCATGCAAAGTAGGCGTTTCCTGAGGTGAGTGTTCCATAGGTTCTTAATCTCATTATCCGTTCTTCTGGGTAGTTGAGCAGCAATGGCAGCCCACCTTGAAATTCAACAAACATTCAAACAAAACCAAAATTCCCAAAGAAAGCTAACCATTTAAAAAAAGGAATACCTGTTTCCAAGAATGCCATGAAGCTGAATGACAAGCTTCTCTTCTTCAAGGGTGAAGGGGCCGCGTTTTATGTCGGGCCTAAGATAGTTCGTCCATCGAAGCCTGCAACTCTTGCCGCATCGAAGAAGACCTGTCGGTGAAGAAATGTTGGTTAAAAACAAATAGATCTAAACAAAACAGGCACATGAACTTGAAATATCAGTAAACCCTAAAAATCTTAGCACTTTGCGAGTGTCAGCTTTAGTGGACACAAAGAAACATCCAAAAAGTAGTATAAAAGAAGCATATAAGAACAACCCCAAGAAAAAGGGTTTTCTTGGACTGAAGCAAACCTGCAAGCTTAGGAAGAGAACGCCAGCTTCCATGGCCGTGTTGCTTTATGTAATTTACGAGGATCTCGTCTTCTTCTGGTTCCCATGGCCCTTTCTTCAACCCCTTCTTCTCACAACATGGCTTCCTCCCCATATTTGTTTTTGGAGAAATCAACAAGAGATGGCGTATTTTGAGAAGAAACTTCACCGAGTTCCTGAGTGACAAGTGTTGTGAAGTTAAAACATATAAAGAGGTGCAACAAGAGAGAGAGAGGGAGATGCTTTAAGTGCGAGTTTGATCTTATCTAGGCAAATCGAAACCGATTATCAAAAAAATAAATACAAAGAAAGATCAGTCCATCAGTGAGTTTCAAGCTGGCTTCTGCTGCTGGTGCCTTTTTTTTTGTTGTTGTTCAATCAATATGCGGTATACAAAAACAGTGCAACTATTAATGGTTGACAAAATACAACACAAAAAATTGAAGACAACTTGAAATCATCATGGAAAGAAAAGATAATGACAAAACAACAGTGAAGAGAGTTTAATGAGGGCCGGGGATTCCTTGTTTTGAGTTGCATAGTAGAAAAAAAAATTGAAAAAGAAACCAGGGGGACTGCAGTGGAGGTGAAGAAGGAAAGCATTAATGATGGGATTCTCTTGGAACAGGACATACAAACATTAATGAGGAAAGACGGTGAGTAATGTCTATGAAAATGACATGCATTGTCAGGGTAGTTTTATCGTAATACACTTTAATTTAAACTTAATTTAAAATGATTTTAATTTAAAATGTTATAAAAATTTGTATAGTATGTTTAGATTTGTATTTAATGATGTATTGTTTAAGCATATTATATTATATTTCGTATATGTCTCGATTATCTCATTAAACATTCTGAAGTTTACTCTGTTTATTTATTACATATTGTAGGAATTCGTTTTGTTAAATCAACTTTGGATTGCATTCTAGAAGCCACAAATTCATCTTCAACATTTATCAAAGTAAATCCATTTTGTTTCGAAACTTCTAGAATAATGGCATACATATGTGATTATTTTTATTAGGTGGTTATGTATCGATGTGTTTTTTGACATGTTATATTATGTTTGATATGTCAGTTATATATTCATGTTGTAAGTTATATAAATTGATAAGTATGTCATGTTGGGAAATAAACTGAGTACCAGTAATTTTTCTATAACCAGATTAGTGAGAATGCGAAATAAAAACGGAAAAATAATACATGAAATTGATAACGGAGTTCAGCCAATTTGCTTACGTCTCCGGACTGTTGTAGATCTTTTACTAAGAGAGAATTTACAGGTGTTTACAAAACACTCACTACTCACAAGAAAGCTCTCTAGTATTGGGAGAAATAAATGATTTTTGGGATGATTTTGAAGCTAAATGAGCTAGGGTATTTATAGTTGAAACTAAGGACTTAATCTTGTAAATACCCTAAAGCCTAGGGATTAATTATGATTATCCCATTATCATTTTTCAACAAACATCTACTAAACTTTGAAAAACTATTTTTCAAAAGAAACATTTACCAAACTTTGAAAACCATTTTCAAAGAAACATTTACTAAACTTTGAAAACCATTTTTTCAAAGTTGGTTGCCAAACTTGAAAATCATTTTAACAATACTTTCAACAATCTCCCACTTGAAGACTGATTTTAATCTGTCTTTAAACCTCGATCAATGCAACAACTTTTATAGTCTTGTTACTCTAGCATGCCAACTGAAGTTTAACACAACTTCAGTTTGTTTGTAGTCTTTGTCAACATGTCTGCCGGATTTTGAGCTCCACTTATCTTTTCAAGTTTCAAAATCTCATCTTCCAGAAGAGACCGGATAAAATGATATTGCAATTGTATGTGCTTTGTCCTGGAATGAAAAGACGGATTCTTTGCTAGATGTATAGCACTTTGACTGTCGCAATACAAGACATTGTTTTCTTGTTTCTTGCCTAACTCTTCCAAGAAACTTTGGAGCCAAACCATCTCCTTGCTGGCTTCCGTAACATCGACATATTCTGCTTCAGTTATAGAGATAACAACTATCTTCTGTAGTTGAGAAACCCACTGCGGTTCCTCCTAGAGTATAGACATACCCTGTAGCGCTCCTTCTGATGTCAACATTTCCGGCTAAGTCAGCATCTACATAGCCTGTCAGTATCGTATCTCCACCTTTGAAACAAAGTGTTTTGTTTGTGGTACCCCGCAGATATTTGAGGATCCATTTCACTGCTTCCCAGTGTATCTTGCCCGGATTATTCATGTACTTGCTAATAGCTCCCACTACTTGAGCAATATATGGTCTGGTACAAACCATGACATACATCATACTTCTAATTACTGAGGCATACGACACCTTCACCATGTGTGCACGTTCTTCCTCCATCTTTGGTGACTGTTCTTTGGAGAGTCTGAAATGAACACCTAAAGGTGTACTTACTGGTTTAGCATCTTGCATGTTGAACCTGGAGAATACTTTGTTGATGTACTCAGCCTGTGATAATATCAAAGTCCCCGACTTTGTGTCTCTCTTGATCCTCATCCCAAGAATCTGCTTTCCAACGCCCAGATCCTTCATAGCAAACTGCTTCGACAATTTTTGCTTCAAATTTATAATCTCTTGCATGTCTGAGCCTGCAAACGAGCATGTCATCAACGTACAACAATAAAATAATGAAGCTATTGTCGAACCTCTTGATGTAGCAACAATGATCTGCTTGGCATCTGGTAAAACCATTGCTACCCATGAAGCTATCGAACTTCTTGTACCACTGTATAGGAGCTTGTTTTAAACCATACAAGCTCTTCTTCAACTTGCATACCAGTTTTTTGTTTCCTGCCTCTATGAAGCCTTCTGGTTGCCTCATATAGATTTCTTCCTCCAAATCACCATGAAGGAAAGTTGTTTTTACATCTAACTGCTCAAGATGTAAATTTTCTGCAGCTACAATTTTCAACACCAGTCTGATTGTAGACAGTTTTACAACTGGAGAGAAAATTTCATTGTAGTCAATACCTTCATTTTGCTGAAAACCTTTGACAACCAATCTTGCTTTGTAGCATTTGCTCCCATCGTGTTCTTCTTTGATCCTGTAAATCCACTTGTTGTGGAGCGCTTTCTTGCCTGGTGGTAATTTAGCTAATTCTGACGTCTGATTTGACATAAGCGAGTCCATCTCATCTTTCATGGAAGACTCCCACTTGATTGAATCCTCCACTTGAATTGCTTCATCATAGCACTCTGGTTCACCATTGTCAGTCAGCAACAAGTAGTGCAAAGAAGGAGAATACCGTTGGGTTGGTTTTCTCAGTTCTGGTGTGACTGGTTCTTCTTGAACTGCTTCAGGACTGATCTGAACATCATTTCCAGAAATCTCCTCGAACTCAGTAAATTCCTTTGTTTCAGCTTCAGTATTGGAGCCACTTGATTCTATGGTTGACCTGTCTTTTACATCACATTCTCATTGAAAATGGCATCTCTGCTTCTGATGATCTTCCAATTTTCGTAGTCCCAAAACCGGTAACCGAACTCATCACCGCCATAACCAACAAAGGCACATTTGTTGGACTTAGCATCAAGTTTACTTCTTTCAGCAGAGTCTATGTGTACATAAGAAATACAACCAAACACTCTTAAGTGTGAAAGGTTTATTTCTTTCTTGCTCCAAACTTCCTCTGGTATTCTGTCATCCAAAGGAATTGAGGGCCCACAGTTGATCAAGTAAGCTGCAGTGTTGATAGCTTCAGCCCATAGAAATTTGGGCAATCCGGCATGTATCCTCATGCTTCTGTCACGTTCATTCAGAGTTCTGTTCATGCGCTTTACTACGCCATTCTGCTGCGGTGTCATGGGAACTGTTGTCTCCATCTTGATCCCATTGTTTGCGCAGAAATCTCTGAATCTACGATTTATGTACTCTCCTCCATTGTCAGACCTCAACCGCTTGACTTTCAGACCAGTCTCATTTTCCACTATGGCCTTTCATTTTCTGAAGGTATCAAATACTTCTGATTTCTTCTTCAGAAAATAAACCCACACCTTCCTTGTAGAATCATCGATGAAGGTGACATAATATAATGAGCCTGCAAGAGATGGAACTAAAGATGGTCCCCATACATCAGTATGAACCAACTCTAACTTTTCATCCTTAGGTGTCTTACCAATCTTTGCAAAGCTGACTTTCTTTTGTTTGCCAAAGATGCAATCCTCGCATAGTCCGACATCTACATTCTTTAGATCAAGTAACTTCCCCTTTGACAAAAGTGTCTTCATCCCTTTCTCGCTCATATGGCCAAGCCTTTGGTGCCATAGGTTTGTTTTTCCATCAGCATCTGCTACTGTAATGATATTCTCTAAATTTGAGGTTATATAGAGAGTACCAGTTTTCTTACCACGAGCAATGACGAGTGCTCCTTTAGTAATCTTCCATTCACAGCCTGAAAAGGTTGTGCTAAATCCTTCACCATCAAGCTGTCCTACGGAAATCAAATTTCTTTTGAGGCCAGTAATATGTCTCACTCCTTTCAGCGTCCAGGTGGTCTGGTTTGGCAACTTTAATCGGATGTCTCCTTTTCCGTCGATCTTTAAGGTTTCATCATCGGCTAGATGAACCTTCCCAAAATCACCACTGACATAGTTCTCCATGATTTCTCGGCATGGGGTGGAGTGGAAAGATGCCCCTGAATCCAAGATCCATGATTCAATCGGAGTGTTGACGCTTAGAATCATAGCATAACCTGTCTCCTCTTTCATGTTGGCAGATTCCTGTGCATCAATATCTTTCTTCAGTGCTCGACAATCTCTTTTAAAGTGACCCTTCTTGCCACAATTATAACAGGTAAAATCTTTCTTTCCTGTTCTTGATTTGCCCCTTCTGGATTTTGATATGCCACGATTTGAATTTCTTTCTGAAGTTCTCCATCCGGACTCTGTGTGCAAGGCTGAGGAGGTTGATGCTTCACCCGATTCTCTCTTTCGAATTTCTTCGCTCAGTACCAGATCCCGAACATCGTCGAATTTCAATTTACTATTTCCCAACGAGCTGCTAACTGCTGTAACAGTAGCATTCCAACTGTCTGGTAGAGAGATGATAAGAGAATTAAAGCTCGAATTTCATCATCAAATTCAATTTCCACTGAACTCAACTGGGTTGTGATTGTGTTGAGTTCATTTAGGTGTTGTGCCATCGATGCCCCTTCCGTCATCCGCAAATTGAATAATTGCCTCATCAAGTGTACTTTGTTTGAGGCTGATGGCTTCTCATACATACTCGAGAGAGCCGCCATAAGACCTGCCGTGGTCTTTTCCTTTGCTATGTTGAAAGCAACATTGCGGGAAAACGTCAGTCGGATAACTCTGAGGGCTTGTCTGTCAAGAAGAGCCCAGTCTTCATTCTTCATGCCCTCTGGTTGTTTTCCTGAGAGAGGTTGATATAGATTTTTCTGGTACAAAAGATCTTCGATCTGCATCTTCCAAAAGCCAAAGTTCGCACCATCGAACTTTTCAATTTTCACCTTCCCTTCGTCTGCAGCCATCGCTCCCACTCGAATCTGGTTTCGTTTGGATCGTTTCTGACAATTCTTGCGAACCACCGTGTATTAAAACACCTCTGTCGACAAGCTCGTATCGCCGACAAATTTTTTACTATTCACGAAATTCACTATTCACGTAAATAGTAATGAATAGTAACCTCGCAAAAAATTGACAAAATTCACAACCAAAAGCTCTGATGCCAGTTGTTGGGAAATAAACCGAATACCAGTAATTTCCCTATAACCAGATTAGTGAAAATGAGAAACAAAAGCGAAAAAATAATACCCGAAATTGATAATGGAGTTCAGCCAATTTGCTTACGTCTCTGGACTGCTGCAAATCTTTTACTAAGAGAGAAAATTTACAGGTGTTTACAAAACACTCACTACTCACAAGAAAGCTCTCTAGTATTGGGATAAAGAAATGATTTTTGGGATGGTTTTGAAGCTAAAAGAGCTAGGGTATTTATAGTTGAAACTAAGGACTTAATATTGTAAATACCCTAAAGCCTAGGGATTAATTGTGATTATCCCATTATCAATTTTCAACAAACATCTACTAAACTTTGAAAAACTATTTTTCAAAGAAACATTTACCAAACTTTGAAAACCATTTTCAAAGAAACATTTACCAAACTTTGAAAACCATTTTTTCAAAGTTGGTTGCCAAACTTGAAAATCATTTTAACAATACTTTCAACATGTCACCTATATGTGGTGTGTTATTATAGTTGGTAAGCATACAATAGGTAAATGTAAGAGGTGTAGTGTTTTGTATGTTAAAGATATGTTTGAACATATACATTTGCTATGTATGGTGATGGATTTTGTATGATTCACCATGTATGAGTAAGTTGTTATGTTTATATTCTAATTTTAGTAGTGATAAATATTGTATATGACTTGCTTGATGGAAAATTTTATTGCATATTTGGTGTGTAATTAATTGATGTACAACTAGAAAGATGGGTGTAAGTGTGATGTATTGAGTATGATTCTATGTGCATTTTATACTCATTGCATATCCACATATCTTATACTAAATTTCATAAGGTTTAGGAGTGATTTGGGTCATCCAAGATTCATCCAAAGCGGTTAAAATGTTATTTCTGGCACAATTTCAATATTTTGAAGTATTTATGTATTAGTCCCTCAATTTTGATGAATTTTATAAATAAAAAAGTTCTTAAATGATTTAATTTGACTAGGGAATTTTATAATAGTAATAAAAATGCTATAAGTATTTGAATAATGAAACACAATTCTTTTAAGTTTTAAAAGTTTATAATTTGATCCATAAATGTATCTTTGGTATACTTAGTGAATGAACTGCATTTTAAGATTTTAGTTAAAACTTGACATGGACGAGATCGTGAGTATGTTCGTAGATAAGTGAATTAAGAAATACCGACGATGATGTATGTGATGTGATGAATTAATGTTTGAATATATTACAAAGTGTATGTGTTGATAGTGGTCAAAGTACTGTATAGGTAAACTTATCATATTCACATGATAAAATTTATAAATATATTAAAAATATAACTCGAAGTAGACGAAAATTTTTATTGATAAGTCTTTTCAGCACATAAGGGGATAAGAAATATGGTCAGCAGAAAGTCAAAGAGCAGGCCAAGCTAAGCTAAGTCCAGTCGAAAGAGATCTTAGTGTGGTGTTTGGAGTTCGGATTTATGGACGAAAGATGTCGCTACTGTAAATGTCATGTGTCCTATATCAAATTTCTATTCTGTTGTCTTTTTTTGTAAACTATTTTGGTTACGCTTTGATCAGTATGTATGTTACTCTGTATTGATATATTACTATTATTTATACAATAAGTTATATTATTTATTTATATAAATTTATAATGTACAAATTTATATATTATAAGTATTATTTATTATAATAGTCTTTCTTTTCAACTGGTTAAGTAATATTGACATTCTTTATTTATGTTTAATTTTTCTGTATTAATAAAAAGATTAAATTTATTTTGATTTTAATCATAGTGTGTGTGTGAACTTTATTCAAGAAATTATTGTTTTCCCCTAAAAATTTAAAATTCATATATAGTTTAAATATTTTCTTTGTATTTTCTATTAAAAATATGTTTTCACCCGTAAATATTTTTACACTCTTTTAAAAAGAAATTGACTCATTTTCTAAAAATATTTAACAATAACAATTTTAAAACTTAATTTTCTCAATTAGAAAATATTCTTCATATAATTTCTAAATTTGACAGTCCAAAATAAATTTTTTACCTCCATCTCTAATTTTGGTTATGATTTGTTATCGTTAATATAAAAAGTAAAATAAATCCAAAATTGGAAATTGGAAATTGTTTTCAGAATAAATTAATACCTTATAAAACATAAAGGGGGTGTGAGAGAGAGGCTTTTTGAAGTAGGGAGGTGTTTGCGCCATAAGGATGAAAGTGAAGATGAAAATGTTACTTGAATTATAGTATAGCATTTAAGTGGTCGGGTAAGTTGCAAGAAAACGTGGAAATTGGTTATGAGTTGTTTCTTTCAATTGCCGTCTAATAAATGCAGACAGTCATCTGATTTACCAAACTTATAGTATAATTTAAAGTAGAAAATATGCAATATTAAAAAAATTAATATTTTAGGTTGAACTCAACTAAATAAATAATATTTAGAGTTCAATTTTTTATTTTATAATAAAATCATTTGCATTAAATTGTAAGAAACTGGCACCATTTCAAAAGTGTTTATTGAAACATTTTTATTACAGTGAACTAAATAATAATCCATTCAAAGTTTAGAGAATAATTTTCAGTGGTAGAAACGATGGGTTTAAAAAATATTTTTAATAATTTATAACCAAACTCAGTATTTAATTATTAAGAAAATAATTATTAGTATAGATGTCAAACAATTGTACATCATCGGTAACCATTATATTTAAATTGCAGGAGATTAAATCATAAGACCAACACACACAAAAATGACTTCATGCGTTAACTCCAAAAAGTAGTCGTTGTTCACCATTGTTACCACCGTAGGCTAAAAAATTCAACGACAGTAAATAGCCTGATCAATATGAGGAGGAATTTGCTTAATTTCAGTCCCAAGTTCTTGTTCAATCCTATACCTGTTAGAGAAATATCATTTAACATTGCAATGAACAAACGTAGTGTTCAAGTTTCAAAAGGGTTGAGAATGGATAACATACAAGTTAAAGCGGTCCTCATATGTGATCAAATTCACTGGCAATCCAAGATGACCAAACCTTCCCGATCGACCAACCTGCTCAGTAAGAGGATTAGCAAATAAAAAAAAATATGATGAACGTTGCAACTTGTGAGAGAGAATATCTTAATCAACACACCCTGTGGAGGTATGTTTCCGAGTTCTTGGGAAAGTCGAAGTTTATAACAACATTCACCGCTTGGATATCTATACCCCTTGTGAAAAGATCTACGTCGAGTGGAAATAGGATCGTTTAAGAAATTTATTCTTCGTGTAATAACTACAGTAGAAAATTTATGCGGACACATACCAGTACAAACAAGGTTCCTGCAAGCGCCATTGCGAAAATCATGAAATACTCTATTTCGATGGTCCAGGAGCATCTTCGCATGGATATAAAAGCACGAGTATCCAAGCTCTGTAATTTTCTTGGCCAACAGTTCCACCCGATTCACCGAGTTACAGAAAATGATTGATTGGTTTATTTGCAGCTGACGATAAATAAATATCACCTCATTTAAATAATGGAAAGAAGAGAAAACTGGATAAAAATTTATATAAGGTCAGTCAAACCTTAGAGAAAAGAGTGTTTAGGCAGTGGACTTTCTGTCTTTCTTCCACAAAAGCATAATACTGCGTAATACCCTTCAGGGTCAGCTCATCCATAAGATTTATAATATAAGGTAGTTTTAGGTATCTGTCTTTGAAGTCCTTAACAGTAACAGGAAATGTAGCAGAAAACATCAAAATTTGACAATCCGGGGGAAGAAACCGTATAAGCTGCTATATAGAAGGTTGGAACTCTGGAGACAAAAGTTTAACTGCCTGAATGAAATGAAAAACACAATCAGATTTTGCAGATTATAAAGTTAAAATCAAGTATAAACAAGACAGGGAAAAGAATCAAATATTTTCTCCAATCCACTAGTGTCTTGTTTTCTTTTTTAAAACACTTGTAAGAATTATTATACTCGCTACTCAACCACATATTTCTGAACAACCCCAAATTCATTATTGGGATCAACTAGGGCTAAAGCGATGTCCCTTGTCAGTACACCACAGGCTTGGTTGACCCCAAATTTATTATTATAACAGTACAAGATGATTCTTTCCCTTATATTGAAGTGGGAAATGGGGTGTGTGGTTGGATGAAGTCTTTTATATCATTTATTAACTACTGAGTTTGGAGAATTATGGCGCTTGCTTAGTCTTGTATTTGGTTTTACGTTATTGGTCTTGCCATATATTGATGATCAATTATGTGAAACTGATTACAATTGCTTACTGAGTTTTCAGGTAGGCATGTCCATTGACCCGAAACTTCTTTCAAATTTTCCTGTCATTGCGGCAACATTGGGACTCTTAATTGGTGGCAAGACTATACTGGTGGCACTGATTGGTAGACTTTTTGGTATTTCAATCATATCTGGCATAAGGGCTGGTTTTCTTCTTGCTCCAGGGGGAGAATTCGCATTTGTGGCTTTTGGTGAAGCTGTTAATCAGGTTTCTGTCCCCATTAACTAACATCGTTTGGTCATGAGGTTATTTCATTCACATCTAACAGTTTATCCTGCATTTGCTACACATTTAGTTAATCTCTTGGGCTATTTGATCCTACTTTTGATTTTTTTCTACCTTAGGCTGTTTCGAGAAAAAGATATCGGTCACATATTTGTTATTATATTTGTGACATTCATTAGTTGGGTCTTTCTTTTTAGGTAAATGACCTCATTTAGTTGCCTAATCAACATGGATCTTTCTTCTATCGATAATGATTGCTAATCCAACTTCGAACTGTTAATTAATGAGATGCTTAGTTGCTTATGCAAGTATTAATGGTGGTGTTGGCAGGGTATAATGTCCTCTCAGCTATCCTCGTTGTTGTTCCTTGTTGTAGGGATCTCAATGGCCCTCACACCATGGCTCTCGTTTCGAGCTTGTTGATGTTCGAAGTTTATTGTTAGAAACCAAGAGAGAAAAGAGTCTGAAATTCATTCTTATTATTGAGAATAGTGTACATTAGTTAAATACACCTAGTTTTTTTACTTCTATTAAGATTCTTTCTTCTTGCTTATCTGTTTATCTGACTTGAATTTATTTCCTGACCGATGATTTGCAAGATCATATTATCATTTGTGGCTTGGGACGTGTTGGCCAGGGGTATATTTTCTATCTTCAATCGCGAAATTAGTCTAAAAATATTAATTTGCGAAGTTAGTTAACGACGACCACATGTATGTAATAATGACTCTCTTTCTTTCCACTGTTCTCAGATCATAGCTCAGCTTCTTTCAGAACGCCTAATTCCATTTGTTGCTAACCCCCATTTTCTTTCGTAGGAATTATGTGAATATTTTTATGCTTATGATTCTTTTTCCTTTATTTTATTTTAATAGCAATAGTTATGATTTTGCAAACACCTAATTCCATCTTAAGCTAGGGTAGCTCTATTTCCTTGCACGGTTTTTCTTCTTCACTGCAACGTAATTGACATTTTTGTTTAAGAAGCTAAAACATGCACTGAGATAGGCTGAGCATACTGCAAATAAAAAAGTAGAGATATCTTAAGCTCATCAGTCCATCATATATTAAGATACTAAAAGCTCTGCTCTTTCAGTGATCGGGTGGCTACAGAGCGTGCACTGGACCTTCCCATTTATTTCGGAGATTCTGGTAGTGAAGAGGTAAACTGAAACTAGTTTGAAATAAGCTATACTTTTAGATCAATGTGTAACATTCTTTATACTGGGTTCTAGGTGCTTCATAATGTTGGTGCTGAAAGAGCATGTGCTGCAGCAATAACCTTGGATTTTCCTGGTGCCAATTATAGAAAAGTTTGAACTCTGAGCAAGTATTTCCCTAATGTGAAGACTTTTGTCTGATCACGGCCTTAGTTTAGAGAAGGCCGGCGCTACAGCTGTAATATTCTGACAACTTCATACTAAAGTTTCCTCCCACATTTTTGTTCTTTCAGTGTTTCTCTCTAATTCTCTTATTGCTTTTTGGCCCACAGGTTGTGCCGGAGAGCTTGGCACCCAGTCTGCAGCTGGCAGCCGCTGTTCTTGCACAGGTGTGATGGATGATTGTAGTGGCATCATGAACTGATCGCTTCCTTGGCCAAATACAGAAACTGTTTTGAAATTGTTCCTTTAGAATAATAGATTATGATCTGGATGTTCAAACTTGCATTCTACTGGCAACTTGTTATCTAAGCCTTTTACTTTTCCATTTCTTTATGTAGGCTAAACTTCCTGCGTTGGAGATTGCAGAAACAATCAATGAATTTAGATGCCGCCATCTTGCGGAGCTAACAGAGGTATTCCTGACTTGCTCTTGTTGATACCGGAAAATTTTAAATCACCGATATTAAATGTTGAACAAGATAGACCATGTTCTCTGTTGTATTCAAATTTCAAACCTGACATGTTTACGTAAAATTGCCAGGCTACTGGAAGTTCTACTGGCTATGGATTTTCTGAGTCATGAGTAAACCCTAAAGTTCAATGATAAGATACTTCGGATGATAACAATGCCATTGAAGGAACTTTTGCAATATGAAAGATTCATAGTGTTGGGGAAAATGCAAGGAAAAACAGTATAGAAGACTGCATGCCCTCCATTGTGGTGAGTTGTATGAAAGATATAGAACAAAAGGGATAGAAGAGCAGGAAATAACCGACTTTTGAGACTAACTTTCAAAGTGAATAAGCTTTTTTTTCTTCCCATAAACCTGTCTTTGGTTGCAGTTGCGTTTATTTTTTTTTATAGAAGTAAGAGGCCTCATTGAAAACTTCCTCGTAGTAGTCTCAATCCTAAGGAAAGAACCGACTAGCGGAAAGAGGAAAAGAATACCTCAGGTTATTAAAAATAAGCAGGTTACATAAGACTTAAAAATACACCAAATACATCTGTTCTCAACAAAAAAATACACACGAACTAAAAAAACCATACAATCACCCAATCCCCACCTTCGCTAACTTATCAACCTCACAATTGCAACCCCTTGGAATCAACCTAACAATATACGCCTTAGCTGCTACAAGAGACACAATCTCCTTAACTAGGTTACTAAAGAAAATAGGAGCAGTAGAAGGAGATTTAATCCACTCCACTGTAGACTTGCAGTCGCTTTTAACAATCAATCTACCCTCATAAACCCACTCTGAAGAGAGAAAGATCTCGATGCCTTTTTTAATGGCTTTCAATTCTGTTAAAGGGGGAGGGTCGGACCAACACTTTCTGAAAAAGACAGAAGAGTGAAGCGTTTCCAATCCCTTAAAATATCACCGATTCTTCCTACCAACCCGTCAAACTTTACAACTTCATCAGCATTCATCTTAAAGAAATTAACTGGAGGGGGACTCCAACAAAGCAATGGCCTACACTGAACCTTTAAAACATAACTCTTGTCTGCAAGGGAAGGATCTCCAATTAGCAAATCCACTGGATAGGGACGTGAGGATACTTGGCTAGAAACCATTTTGCTAACCTGAATCTAACAATGAAGAAGAGTGTGGACCTGTCAAGTTTCCCTCTATTGAAAACAATTACGTTCCTAACTTTCTAAATTGACCAAAAAACAGCACCCGAAATAAATTTCCATATATAAATGTACATTCATTACTATTTTTCAAATTCATCAGTCAAAAACTTTCATTCACTTTTCTCGTCTGTCTTTTGGTAAATAAATTGCAGTAACCCAAAAGTAAATATGGTTCCCTCAAAGATTTTATTTGTAGTAAAAGAATGGTGATGAAACAATTCCCTGCAAATTTTGACAGTGACTCATGAAGTTACATACATAGATAGCCAACACAGAGTTCGGCACTTATTCTTCTCATAAACTATAAGATACAAATGGGTATATGAAGAGGAAAGTTTCAGCTGTTCAAGGGTTGCTCATAAAGAGAGCTTTGCACTGCTCCGCTGTATCCTCAGGGCTGGTAACTGCAATAATAATAATAATAAGCCTGAAGCTTTCATTGGCATAAAATGTTTTGGAAAATTTTGCATTGTCAATGGGAATTAGATCATTGCATTGTGATTGAGAGTAATGTGGATTTTAAATGCATAACTGACCTGTGTCCCCCACTGTTATCCCTGATTCATAAATTTCATGATCGTTCCCTCCCTGATCACGAAACACCGAGGCAAGATCATTAGGCCACATGAAAGTACAGAAACTTTTGTAAACAAAATTAAGGTATAGATTGAAAGAAAGAAATAACCAAAGGATGCTGACAATAAATCTATGTAGTCTGCACTGCAGAGAATGGTGGCCGTAAGATTTGAATCAAACAAGAAGCCTACCTTTTAAGTTTTTTCACCAAAGAAATGAATCTCTTTAAATTCTTCAAGGTATCTCAAGCAGTATGTTTTGTCCCAACCCTGTGGGAAAACCTGTTACGAGCAAAATGCAGCAATGATTAATTCAATGAATCTGTACTCGTACTTATTAAATCTGTTTAACTGCAAATCATGTGCTACTCACGTCAAAGCTTATTTGTCCCCCAATTGAGAATGTCAAGTTGAGGTGAGAAAACTTTTCTCGAAGCCCGAAACCATTTTTGGGCGGATGTTGTGAACCTGGAACCCAATTGTTTGTATTTGTGTAAGCATACATCTATAAAACTAGAAGTTCCATACAGTATATTTACCTTGTCATACTTTTCAAATTCATCCCTTTCTTCTTGGCTGCAATTTCGCCCAATTGGAGATACATTAAGCATCCCATTCGAAATTCTATGAATGTACCCCTAAAAAAATTGGTAGAGGGCTAGTCTATTTAGCGCAAATGATAAAAGAGTATGTATGGAGTTCAACTAGACTTAAATATGAACTCAGTTCTTCCAATGTTCTCACCTTTTTATCGGGATATCCAAGTCAGCAATATTATGCAGTGTAAAGTTTATAAATTCCTGCACATCATTTGCAATCTATGAGCAAATACTTGAGAACATACGTCAATATATCCTCTGCAGATGCAGTATTTTGACCTATCATTCAAACAGCATTGAACTATGTGCAAGTCGGATACTCTAGCCATCCCACATTTAATTTTGATAAAGAAGAGCATAAAGATCCAAGTGATTCCAATATCATCATTAATCAGATATTTAGGTAGACATCACAAGCACTAATCACAAATTGCTAATAAAAGTCAATGGAGTCCTAACAACACCATATCCTGAGATTTTTCCTTATGCAATCTTTATAGATTTTCAATAGGATAGGATCACATCTAAGAAGGGGAAAATCTAACCTTAAGCTTTTCTTCTCCCAGAAATGACTTCAAGCTCTGGAAACCGGAAAAAGAGACTCCTTAGATAAATGCAGATAGAAATTGCATGCTGTGAATTATACCTCGGTGCCGATGAGTTTTCCATCTTTATGAGCAACAAGCCCATTTTCAGAAAATACATAATCATAGTCATTAACAACTACATCGAAAATGTAAACTATGGTTAACAAACACAGAGAAACAATGAAAAGAACAACATTTCATAGTTACAAGTATAATGGCAAGAGCTGAAGCAAACCTGATTTCCCAAGTTGCTCAGATATCTTAGTGAGGTCAGATCCACCCACCACTCCAACAGTAACAACCTACAATTCAAAATAAAACAGAATAAATTCCCCTCCAAAAATGGCATTTTTCTAAAATTACAAGCAAAATTTACCTTCTTCAGTTCCTTCATGAACTCTAACATCTTGGGAGTAGCCACCTATTTACCATTTGAAATCAATGAAAACTCAACAGTAAAGAAGAAATGAAGAAAATACAATGCCAAGAATCCACGTTAATTCAAAAACCCAAAAATCATATCACTAAAATTTAGGGGATTAAAGAGGAGATAAGTACCTTTCTTGGAGCTGTAAGAGTGCCATCAACATCAAATAAAGCAATCAAACCAGGTATCCTGAAAGCCATTGAAGTTTGTTTATTTATTTCCCTCCTTCTGCCATCAAAATTACAAAGCTTTAGAATGTAAAATGAAAAACTTAAAAGTCAAATTCTTATGATAAGAAATGGAAATTTAGAACCAGAGTAAAGGTGGGGATAAACTAAAATGTTCTGACTTTGATTTTTGACGGGATTTCGGAAATTTTGAGTTAAAACAGTGAAACAAAAGCACACGGCATTATAAAGCATACATCTTTAATTGCAGAAACGGGGATGTATTCCCGAGGATAAAACAAATGGCCGAGCGAGTAGCTTGAGATTGCGATTTCCTTTAGATCTGGGAATTCCTCAACGAAAAGAATGCATGAGAATGGCGCCATTTATATATTATTGAACATGAAAGGGATAAGAACAACCTGAAGAAAGCATAAAATTAAAATTTAATAGCATATTCCCATTAGAATAGACAAGTTTGTGCGTGGGTGAAAGGGAATGGGCCAATGAGCGAAGCAAACGAACTTGGGTTGTTCTTTTAACGGATTTCGGAAGGTGAACCTGAAATGCACCCATGATAAATATAGGGTAAATACTCCCATGACCACTTAATTATAGGGACTGGTTTTTTAATTTTATTAATTAAACCACATAATTATTTAAATGAATATACTCAAATCATCTATCGTTAATTGAGTTATAAGAGCATAAGCTTACTTAAAAACACATTTGATGACGTGGTAATGGTTGCTATGTTTTACAGTGTAATATTTTTTTAGTTTTATGAAAAACTAATGAAACATTAAAGATTAATCTTGTTATTATACCATATGTAAACAAAGAATTTAAAAAAAATTATGTCAATTCCTGAGTTACCTACTGTTGTCGCGTCAGATTCCGTAAGAAAATGATTGACAAAACAATATCTCATCTATGAAATTGAAAAAAAAATTATACTATGATGTATCAAAGAAGGAATTAACCCACAATTAAACTATGAATGTTTGTCAACAAATGATCAAGAACTACTATCTTTAAGCGTAGTTGAAATTTTAACTAAATGACGCATCTCATCCCTCTTGCAACAAATCAACGCGTACCAAATAATCCAAAAACAGCTGAAATGTCATTGTAATGATATTAACAAAACCATCAAACCTTACAATCAGCTGATTTGTCAATATCACGGAGAAGCCAAAACAAGCACAACTTATTAATCACATAAAAAGTTACCAAATCCACTGCAAATAAACAATTACATGTTTGCTAAACTGTGCCGACTGCCGAACTCATATGCTGGTTTGAAGCGCTGTTGGTACTTCATTAACGGCCCTAGCTAGACTTCAATAATCTTTGTTCCCGAAGTTCTTGCACCAGAGCTGCGAAGGAATCGGACGGACAGGCTGATGAGGCCGTTGCTGCAACAAAAAGGAAATATTGATGGTAATATAAGGTAGGGGATAAACAGAGACATACAGGTTCAGAAGAAATCACCAGATTTAGTCACAGTTCCGAAGCGACTCATTGCACTATACATCTAATTTCTACACAAACTGATTTGATCAGGTGAGACCAGAGGACCACTTAAGGAGATAAAAAGTGCATATTAAAGCAATATGAATACCGACATTGCATTCAATAATTTGATGAAGAAGCAGCATAATATTCTGCCAATGACAAATTGATCATTTTGGAAGGCATAGAGATGGTTGACCTTCTAACATACAAGCATGCAGAGTAAATGTCGGATGAGACAATAAGAAGCCGTAAATCATATAATCATGTAAACCAGGAAGCTTTAGGTCTATTGCTAATTCATTCAAGAATAATTATCAATCCAGCAGCTAAGAGAAAAACTCGAACTTTTCAGCACCATTTATGGGTTATCATGAAACCGATGGGAAATTTAATGGACATCAAAACTTTGTTTGAAGGATCACAAAGATAGCCAATAGACTTATTCGAAAGGGATCATCATAATTGACCTTCATATCCACTTCTATCTTTGTTTACATATAAAATTTCAAGCTTCTACCAAAATTTGTAAAGCTTATGTTTACTCAGACTTGAGTATTAAGTATCAACCATAATCGGTAAAATTGTTATTTAGTCCCTTCAAATTTGTAACATTTAAAAGTAATATAAACTATAAAGGTAAAATTATATTTTGCCCCCCAAATGATAACCTTATAATTTAGTCCCTTCAAAAATGGTAAAACTTAAATTAATACTGTATTTTGGTTTTTTGAGTTTTTTAAAATTCACCCCCCCCCCCCCCGATTTATTTTCCTGGCATCGCCCCTGACTATATGATTGACCAAATCCATAATCAACTTCAGAGGATGAACACTTCATAAAGGTTTGAATCATTTAAATTTTCAAAATGCTTAAACCTAGAGTCAACAATTTCAATTAGTTAGGGTTAACATGAGTTCTATTTCAAAATAGCAATTAGAAACAGTAATAAAGATAGAACTGCCGGGGGCGATTAATGAACCTCGAGCTCGGCTGATTTCATGGCAATGGGGATGCAGATGAGGAAGACGCCGAACATGGCAATGGCAGTGTTGCGACGCCAGTGCTTGGGCCGGCAGTACGGACCTCCGGACATGCTCCACACCTTCTTCCTGAAATCCTCAGCTCCATGCCCATGCTCTCCCCCTCCCATATTTTTGCCCTAATTTAATCGATCGATAGATTGAATCTCTGATCACAAGAGTAATTAGATCAAATGAGAACTAGAAAAATACATCACAATGAAAAGAAAAGAATAACGATAGCAATAGATGAGCGAAAAGGGGAAGGGATATATGGTGATCGGGGTACCTGAGAGCAATTGCAGGTCAAGAACATCGATCAGCCGAGGCAAATGGAAAGTGAGTGAAGGAATTTGTTGGTGTATAAAGTGAGTGCCCTTGGAAGCCCATTTCTTGAGAGCTCTTAAACAGGTCCTGATTTACTTGGGCTTTTCCGTCATTCTACTTGCAATAAACAATTTAGAACCACACACAATGTTTCTTAACGCTGAGTTGACACTGACTCGTTTTCTCGAGTTCATGTCAATAGATAATTACAGTTACAACAAATCCAATATAAAAACTGGGTTTCAACGATTCAGGAAGGAAGAGACGACGACGTTCGATCAAGTATAATCCTTATTTAGAAAGGAGTAACGACTTTAGAGTTTGTTATTTCTTAATTAAAATGGTAGTCCCGGGGTTCTATGAGATTTTTCTTGTATATTTCTCATCATTATTGTTATTCATTAGCATGTACATATGGTGACTGATGAGATACAAATCAAATACAATATAAGAAGTGCTAATCTTCTGTTTGAAAATTTTGGGTTTATGAATAATGAGTGCTACTAAGATAAAACTATATATGACAGCCAGTGCACGTATATATATATATACATATACATGAGAAAAGATCCCAAAAACCTATTTGGCTAGCAGTTCTATACCTCATCAGAGCATCTGGACATCCATTTATAGGGTATGCGGATGGATATATACATAGGTGCTTGGCTTTATTGTTAACTCCCAATAAACAGGAAATGGGGTGGTGTGGCATGGCAACTAATCATCCAAAACCAATTTACAATCTACCTATAAATGCTGCCGTCTCATTTGATCTTTATGTTCTTGCATGTTCCGGAATAAGACGTTGACGTAGTTCATCTGTTGCACCAGCCAGTTCTGCAGTCGAAATGTGTAAGACAAAAATATAAAAATGCAAAAAAGATTAGCTTACCTTGATCCGTGAAATTGAATAAAGGAGGTAGAGCTCGGCCGTTAGGTAAGCATGCAGTGGGGTCTCTTAAGTCATCAAAGAAAGGATGTGCGCAAGCCTCCAGCTGAAAGCCAGGAAACAAAGACACAGGTGAAACTTTGTGAACAACATTACTAGTCAATAGCATAATCTCTACCAGTCAATTACTACCATTTGAAAGTGCCAATAAGCATAACTGCATGCAGCTGAAAACATTAATAATATAATTTGAAATACTCACAGGAGTGCAATGTAGGTTTGGCGAATACTGGAGCAGCCTTGATACAAGATCCACTGCTTCAGGGGGTATTCTCCGGTTAAAAATCTGCAATTATTGCTTTGATTTAGATTTCTGTTTTCTTTTTCTTGTACGACATGTGTGTGTGTATAAGGTAATTAGAAGATGATCCAATAAACATACCTTATACCATGGATGTACTTTGATATGAGGGAATTTGAACTCGGTATATTTTGGATTCATACATTTAATTTCTTCTCTAGTTGGTGTTCCCAGTTTCTGATAGTGTAAAGCAAAAGGAAGTGAAAAAATGAAGGAAAAAAAACACAGAATGAAAAGTAAAACTAGAGTAATGAAGGATCCATCGATGTACACCTTAATAATTTCCACTAGCTGATCGACACCACTTTCACCAGGAAACAATGGCTGCAAATGGTGTAATACAGAGTATTATTGCATAGAAAATAGTTTTTCAGAAGATATAACTTTTACATACTACAAATGGATGTCTTGGATCAGAACTCATAATGGGGCAACATGGTAATTATATGAAAGAATAGTTTTGCAAAATGTGCTTCAATGAAGAATTTCAGGACGAAAAAGCCCTATATATCCTACAAGCAATTACAGGGGCTCAAAACGTGACTGCACAAGAGATGGTGCAGAAATAGATGCCAAAGGGAAGAAAAAGAAACAATGTTGAAATGCAGACTCGTATTATGAATGTTAATGAAATCAGCACAATCGAAAAAACATCAAAAGATGGATAATATATGTGAACTACGAATGTTATCAAAGCATCACTAGAGCAGTGCAATTATTTACAGGGGGAATAGAACACAAGACGACACCAAAACTACATCTAAAGGGATATATGTATAACTCACCTGTCCAAGCAGAAGCTCGGACATGACACAACCAACAGACCACATATCAATAGCATTTGTATATTGCGTTGCCCCAAATATCAGTTCAGGAGCCCTATAATATCATGAGCATATATACGATATGTTGGGTTCACCTGGCACCTGAAGATTCAGAGTAAGTATATCAAAAGTTTCACAGACCAGGAAAAGGGATTTTCAAACTTTCCAAAATATTCAACATACCAACATCTTTGCACTACCAAAATCACATATCTTCAGCTGGTGAGTGTGGGGATTGACCTGCAATTACATCAAAAAATTTCTCCAATATCATATAGCCTTGAATAATACCAATGATTATGAGAAGAATAAAAGCAATGACACGTTAAAGCCAAATCATAGACAAGACACATGACCCCACAGACATACACAGAGAAATCCTTTGACAAAAGCATTATGACTAACCATCATTACACAGAGTAGTCACACAATGTTATGCATTCAAGATGAAAATGAAAGTGTCTAATTGAGGTGATAGGTAAAACTCTCAAACAAGAGATTGGATAATTTCTTAATCAACCTCCAGTTTATAACATAAATGCCGAAATGTCTTACCAGTAAATTTTGTGGTTTAATATCACGATGGCATACACCAAGCACATTGTGTAAATAATTTAGACCACGGCAAATCTAATAAAAAACAGTATAGCATGTCAGAATAGTACACTTAGAATATAAACGCAAATTGGTTAGATAAAAAGTTGAACCAGTGGAATTTCACAATCCACTAATTGGCTAAATTAGTCAAGGTCAAGGATCACCTGGTATGTATACAGCTGCACAAACAGCATGGGCATATGGCGTTTCATTCTACAGTAGTGTTTTGAAACTCAGAAAATTGTTTCGGGTATGTACTCCAGAACAAGGTTAAGATAGAGCTCATTTGTGCCAGTGGATGAAAAGAAATAGTGCTTCAATTGGACCGTATTAGGATGGCCAAGTAGATGCATAATCTGGAGTTCCCTATTCTTGCATCTTTTATCCTGCAGAACCTTCTTTATAGCAACAGATTCACCCCTCTCCAAACACTTGGCCTACATAACAAACATAAAAATGTGTATCTAACTCAAAGAGGAACATTTTCGTCATATTCAAACACCAAGAGGATATGGTGACCTGTCAATATACTCATACCTGAAAAACAACACCAAATGAACCAGTTCCAACCTCACGCTTAGCCATATACGAGATAGTCTGAAGCCCAATAAAAAGAGATATATTGTTAAGCACTAATTGTTGCTTTTTGTACAAACATAATACTCAAATGTACTTAAATACATTGCATGTAAACCATTCTAACATGACAAATGGCTTCAGCAACATTTTGTAAATATAAACTATAAGAAACAACCTCAACAGAAAAAATGAATTCCCACTCCATCGAGAAGGAGAAGACAGGGAAAATTTCAAGAAAAAATGGTATCAAGCAACATTGGTTCACACATACGCTGCTAAACATAATTCACATTCAAGGTGAGCAGTTAATCACCTGTTTTGGGTGCCCACTTTGATCACTAACAACAGTTGTAATTATTTGGCCTGCTTCTATTCCATTTCCATTGATAACATTAGCTTCAACATCCTATGCAATACAAGTTTCAAAACACTAGGTTTAGAAATAATCATGGAAGCTAGATAATTTAGATGGCTTTAAATCATTTAAAAAATATAAAATAAAATTATGCGAAAATTGGTCACATGATCTCTTTAAGAACCCTAAACCGTGGTATTTCACCGATTCAAATCCATTTCCCAACCAAGGTTCAATTCAAGCCATAAAAACAGACAGAAAATAGTGATTACTTCAAATTATATGATAAGCTTCAGAATTTTTATGCATGAACAGATGAATAACTTCTCAGAAGGCATTCCAGCATATTTGGTTATTAATTTCAAAACAAGATTAAAACATTGATATACCCGTACAGATACATTTGCAAGAGTATAAGACCACAGAATCACCTTATCATCATGGCCACTAGTCTTCTCATCTCTAATTCTCTTTTCATTAGGCAGCCGACTGAGAGCTGATTTCTCTGTTACATTAACAGAAGCAACATTGGACGAGCTTACAGATTCTGACGAAGTAGAATGCATATGCTGCTCTAGATCAAAGCTACTCCTTCCGAATGAATTTGATCCCTCAGGTTGATTATCTGATTCTTGATCAACTTTTGCCCTTTTGGTGCCGTTATCCCCACCCTGATGAGACAAGAACAATGCCATCAAAATAAACAAGACATAAAAACAAAAGCCCAAAGAAAACAAGCATCCTCATTGTGGAAATATAATTTCCAAGTTATTCACTTTTAAGATTGCAGTCTATGATTACATAGGACACAACGCAGTCAACATCACAGGGATACAACAAAAGGAAAATAGTACATCCGTTTTAAGCCAATAATACAGCCCCTGGTTTAGGAAATACCATCCTCAGGAAAAACCAACAACAGACCTATCACCAAATTAACAATGCTGAACGTAAAACCAAACCACCTAGGCTGACCATCACCACCATGGTAAACATATAATCTAAAACTACAGCTTAACCAATGAACATACATATAATATAATAAATAAGAAACTATGCTCACACAACAAAATAATTTAAATTAAGATATCCTCGACCAAAAATAAAATTAGAGATGCACCGGCATTAATAGGTAAGTGGTTAAAATACGTTCAATGTCGAAACAAATGTATAAAATAGAATTCAGATGCATGGCAAATAACCATTTCCAAATAACACAAAAGCAACGAAACACGAAATGGGAAAAAAAACGTTATTTAACAATGTCATTCATCTCTTCCTGAAAACGTGCTTCAACCAAAATAAGGGGGAAAAAACTATCTGAAATGGAGATTTGAAACAAAAATAAAACAATATTGTCATTTGAAAATCCAGTTATTAGCGACAAATAATCACACTGCGAAAACAACAAAATAAAAGGAGGGGAACTCAAATTGCACATCAAAGGAACATGAAGAAAAAAAAACAACGTTTTCAATGAAGTAGCTTAAAATCCTTAATGTTCATTTATTTCTTTCGTCCCATTTCCTCAGCAAACAAACAGAGATTAGCGCCGATCGAATCCATGGAAAAAAGGAAAAGAGAGAACTAACGTGATCAGAAGAAATGGAAGATCGAGACGAAGCAATGCTCTTCAGACGAAGAATCACATTAATGGTTTTAGATTTCGCCAAAACCACACCCTAATTTCCTGGAATAAAAACAAAGGATTTGGTCTTCATAGCGATAAAATTATATAGAGAGAGAGACGTAGAAGAGAAGAGAGAAAACCCGCTTTCTCTCTTCTACTTCCACCTTCGTTTCTCTTTACCCGAATATGAACAAAACAATCCTAACAAAATTTTAATATAACATTTTTGTTAAAAGAAATCCAGAATTTCCTTTTTTCCCTTTCCTATGGGTTTCCTAGAAAACACAATCGAAAGAAAATAGAAATAAAAAAAATAAAAGCCACTATATATATGATTCCTGGTTTGCTGTTTATCGTTGGTCAAGCTGGATCAAAGCCAATCATCTTTTGAGCTTCAGTCAAAGGATAAATTTGAGCCGTGGATTCTTTATTGTTAGAGATCCAACGATCAGTAATCAATATTTTCTGGGTAATTAACAAAGATTTGTGTTTTTATGGTTTGACAACAAAATTCTAAAATATTCCATATTTGGAAAGGTGTGTTAATGGCGGATACGGGCTCTTTTTCAGACACATTTATCCATCGCGAGATATTCGGCGGAGCTATGACCAATCTTTGACCGTTCTTTGCCGGTTAAGTTTAATGTTTTAAGATATTTTTCAGAAATAGATTTGAGTCTATGGAAGGACGTATTATAAAATGGATTTTTATCAAATATATAATTAGTAAAAAATAATTTATTATAATATATATTGAAATATTGATAAATATTCTGTTTATTTATTTTTAACTTTTTTATAAATAAATAAATTAATTTTAAGTTTGGATTGAATATGTTTACTATATCAAATTTGAGTTCAAGATTTTAAATTAAAATCAAAATTAACAAATTTAATACACTATAAAACTTATTATCCGATTGTTAGAGAACTTTTAAAAATAGAAGCAAGATTAAATTAAAATAATAATAAGTATACATATAAACTTTTTTGATTTTTTTTCATATTTTACCGAATAATAGTCCTTATAAATTAGGGGTGTGCATAAATATCTAATTCAACCTATTGAATCTGTTGATTTGTTCACCTGTTTTAAAATTTTGGATTTTTTCTTCTAATTTTTGAATAATTCAGATCATATATCCAAAAAAATAAATAATCAGATCAGATACATATCGACTAAAATTTAATTTTAAATTATCTAAAAATTCGATAAAAACATGCTTTTTAGAATATTTTATCCAAGCCCAATGATCTTAATCAGCCCGCACATTACCTGTAATGTCCAATCTTGAACCTTGGCTTACAAATTTTACACAGCATGAATACACACTATCATTGTTCTGATCAAGCTGCATGCATCGATAAAAATACTTTCTTATTAACATAAAATTGATGATATTAAATTTAAAAATACATCTTTTATCAAATAAAAAATTTTATTCGAATCTAAATACTTGAATATCTGATTTGAAATTTTGGATATCCAAAAATTCAGATACTATTTTTCTTAAATTGGATACGGATCATAACTTTAATGATCTAAATTTTTAGATATCTAAAATTTCAAATTAGATAATATTCGATAGTCGAAAGTGCACACCCCTATTATAAATCCAAAGGAAATAAGTGATTAGTGAATGCTACTACTATTATTATTATTATTATTATAGTTTTCCAGAAGGCAATGTCAGGAACAGGGAAGCTCTATTACACAAATATTAAAACATTGATAGCATACAATTATCGAACACCTTGGTTTCATATCATTAACTACTTGGCTTCATTCAGACAATGAAACATAACACCATACCAAAAGGAGCTTCTTCCTCTACTTCCGGCTGAACAAACTTCTAAGCTTCCCTCTCTGTAACCTCTCCAGGAGCTTCTTCGCACCGGGAATTTCCATCTCCGACAGCTTCTTCAGATACCCGATTGCTCCATACGAGACAATAAGCTTCTTGCATTTCTTACATGTCGAGAGCGATGCAAGGCACGCAATCGCATATTTTTTTGCTGTATTTTGGGGACTTGAATCCAGCAACTGGACCAGATTCGGCACACTTTTATCGTCCTTTTTTACTTCTCGGCGATTCGGAGAGATGGTTAGCAAGCTCGAAAGGGCTTGCGAAGCTGCCTCTCGAGCATTATTCGATTTAGCCTCCAGCATTCTAACGAGAAGGCCGATGCACCCTGCTTCACCCACTAGTTTCTTCATTTCCACGGAATTGCAAACTCGAGAGATGGCTACTGCTGCAGCTTGTTGCGCGCCGAGCGATCCAGATTTAAGCACATGGACTAATCGAGGGAGGAAACCGAGTGATATCAGAACTTCGATTGAAACTGAACCAACCAAATTCCTCAGGGCTCCGACAGCGGATTCTTGGGGCAAAGGACCATCGAGGTATGCCAATAAGCTTTTAATTCCGCCTTCGGCAATAACCAATCTCTTCAGACTCTCATTGCCGGCAGTGAGATTCTGCAAGCACTCCGCTGCATATTCTTTGGATCCCAACAAAATTCCGTGTTCGAGGAGATTCATCATCACCTTTATAATTCCTTCCTCGGCTAGTATTTGTCGAACCTCAGGGACAGCCGATATGTTCTTTAATGTACTAGCTGCTGCAGCCTGTGAAACTGAGTCTCCGGTCTGGCAGATTTCAATCAGTGGCGGAACCCCACCATGCCCGACGATAGCTTGGGCGGTTTCGGCAGTCATCGATAATCTCTGCAGTGAAATCGTTGCCTTCTCTTTACCAACCGTATTGCCAGATTCAACAAGCCTTATGAGAGGCGGCAAAACACCTTCCGACACAAGCCAACTCTCGCAACTCCCGGATTCCGCAAGTGAACAGATAAAAGTCACAGTCTTTTGCCGGATACCGGGAGAAGTGGCGGTTAACAACCGGACTAAAGCAGCGACATTACTCCGTCCCATAACGGACAGTAGACTCTTTTCATCCTCCTTCATGGCCTCAACAAGGCTGTCAAGAGCTTTGTGCTTCGCTTCCAAATGCCCGATCTGAAGTCGTGCAAGCAGATCCTTTAGATGGCCATACGCTGCGGACTCGGATTCCGATGAAGAGCCGACAAAAGACAAAGGCAAAGTAGCTTCACCGAGCACACCGGTCTTGATCAAAAGTCCGCAATCCCGTAAATTCAGATCCAACATCCCCGATAATGCATCTAGATCACTCTGCATCTTAAGCTTCCCCTCATACTTCTCCTTCATACATAAATCCGCCAATTCAATTGCTTCCTTCACTGTCTTCGAAACAGCCTGCAATTGCTCCTTACAAAGAGCATTTTTCGAGAAGAAAGGATGGCTCGATAAATCCGATAAGCACGAAGGGATTTGCTCCAGTTTCGAAATAATCATCTTCCACCTACCGGGAAACACCTTCACTTCCCTTGTCTTATCAAGCGCCATCGGAACAAGCTCTTGCGCGTGCGATAACCAATCATCGGCCGACCGATTCTCAGCCAGAACCCCATTTCCAGTACCTTCTCCCATGATTTTAGATATGAATTTTGATCAAAATGATCACTTCAGCTGTGTCAAGTGAAATTCATAAAACGTAAGGAAACAAATACAAAGATTGAAGCACCTAAAGATGCCGACAAGAGTCTTGAAAAGAATATATGATCTTAAAAGAATCTACTTTTAATTACTAAATAAATTGCAGCCTAATCAAGAAGCCATCAATGAATATTTCACGAAAGTACCAGAATACCCTTTTTTGCAAACCAAGTGGAATTGGATTCTACAGGACTGTAATTTGGGGACTATATCGGTAATTGACTGGAAAATTAAAAAGAAAAGAGAAGATCAACACTAACTTTATTTACTTTTAACCATGAAAAAAATCATGGTACAGATCTTTGACATCATGAATAGATGTTAAAAGGCAAAAGGTCGGGAATTTTCCTAGAAATGAAAGCCGAAAAAAAAGGGTGGAACACTAACAAACATGTAGTAAGGAAATTTCAACTTCCGGAAGAATACCTGAAATTGTTTTGGTTTTCCTTGAAATTCAAAGCACTCAACCATTCACAGGCGCCAAAAGCATACCAGTAGCTTAATCCTCAGGAAATGTTTCTCAAACAATCCACGGATTTCAAAAAGAGAAAGAAGATAAAAAAATACTGTAAATTGGAAACCTGCAAGGCAGTGATACTTCAAAAATCAGTAATAAAATATTTCTCTAAGTTAAAAAAACCCAGAAACCCTTTTCCAAAACTATGAACACAAGCAGCAGCTCAGCCCAAGTTTGAAAACTCAAAAAATAAGAAAGAAGTTTATTAAAAGAAGTCCAGCTTGAAACAAGGCCGGAAACAGACGAATAAAATATATTAAATACACTATAGCAACGATCACAAAATCAAACCTTCCTTGAAATCTCTCTCTCTATTTCGGTCAGGATTTTCTCATTTTTTTAGAGGGGGGTCGTGCTGGTTTCGAATTATCTGTAGAGGGAAGGACAAGTGTGTCGTTTACTTCAGATAAGGAGCGTTTAAATGCAGAGCAGCTTTGGGGATCGTGCGGTTGTGAATCTGGTTCAGGGCGTGATTTTGGACCGTTTGGAATTTGGATGAAATTTTGAATATGGCTTTGCTTTTTTTATTTTTCGAATTTCTTTCACGTTACGGGCAGGCCAATGTGGAGTTTTTCTTGCCACGTGTATTTTAAAAAATTAATTTTATGTTAGATATCGATGCAACGGGTAAAATTGTTAAGATAATATAAGAGATATTTTTTAATTTTTAATATAATTCACTTTGAAGATTATTTTTTTATCTAGGGTGAATTGAACAGTACGAATCTAAAGACGTCAGGTGTTTCATATATCTTCAAACAAATGAATAAGCCTATGAATGTATGACATCTTCAGGCAAATGAATAAGATTTCATGACTGCATGGTATTTTCAAACAAATAGAGAATACCTTAGGAGTGCACAACATCTTCAAATCACCAAGAAGCCATATTTCAAAAAATAATACGATGAATGTCTTATATGAAACAATTACTTTTCTAACACTATATAAACGAGAAACCTCAATGCAACTTGTTTGATCACAGATTATGGGGTGAGTGACCGTCGGATTTTTTTCTATTAACATTATAAGGGTATCTAAGATCGCATTTCAAATCTTGAATCTAGGTAAAAGAAAGTTAAGTTATTTATGGTAATAAGTATTTTTTATAATTTAAATTTTTTTTAAAGAATTTTGAGTTCGATCAAGTGGTTTGAATGTCTATTTAAATTTAATCGTAAGCATTTATAATATTATAGTACTATTATATCTAATTTAATTGGTTTTATATAATTATATACAATTATGCATGTATTTCTTTATTTTTTTTCATATGTGATATACATATCATGCAGGGTTGAGTGAGTGACTCAAACATAAAATTAATCTACTAATTATTAAAAAAAAAATAGTTATTTGAGTTTTATTTTATAACTCAACTCAAATTTGAATTTTTTTCTCGAGTTGAGTCGGAATTATAAAATCACGAGTCGAGTCAATTCAAGTTGATTTTTTTAATATCGAATTAAGTAAAAAAAGTTAATTTTTTAATCGAATTTCCTTGCACCTAATTATCTGTAATTGATAATTTTATTGTCTCGATAGATAAATAACATCGAAGATTTTTTTATTATCACGCTTTTATAAATTTATTTTAAAAAATAATATCATTTATTAATGATTTATGAAAATGTTTGAACCAAACTACTTTAATAGTTAACGGAATAGTTGTTGTTCTCATATTTCTCATGTTCAAGCACTATAAACTATAATGATACTTAAACTTCATTATCAAATGGTTGTGAATCTTTGTAATGTATACTACATTATAATTACCCTAGATTAATAACAAAATATCGTTTTATTATTATTATTTCAAATAGTTTGGAGTGATTACAATATAATATATTTTTAGAATTTTTTAATTAATTGATAACGCATACACACCCTACAAACAAGTAACTGTTTAAATCCAAAATCCATAGAAATAAAAATATTTTATTTTATTTTAAATAATATATATATATATATATGTGATAAAATATGATTTTACATTATATTATATGTCATATTTTTATAACAAAAATATTTCATTCTTACATCTATTGTGATCTCTAAATTGAGAAGAAATTCGATCAGAATTACAGTTGTTATAAATTAATATGATGATTTGTACGTGGTGGCTTATGATAGATGATGTTATAATAAAAAAATAATTATTTTTTAAGAATGTAAATTATATTGATAACGATGAATATTTTATTCAGAAATATTTAAAATAACATCATGGATCAGCCTAGAAAAGCAACGGCCGGTTCCAATGTGATAGATTTTAAAATATTGTCTTGATAGATAAATGACATTGATGATGTTTTACTAGATAATATTATTATCTAAATTATTTTAAAAATATTATAATGTGTTATTTATTAATAAAAATAATTTCGTTTTACTTTTGAAAGCGTATACGATAAAGTGTGATCTTACACTAGATAATACGTCGTACTTTTGTAAAATGGATATTACTATTAAATTTATTTTATATTTAATACGATCTTTAAATAAAATAAAAATATAATATTTAATAAAATATCATAATTAATTATTGTGGTGTTGAAGTGATGATTTATAATATTGATGTGGTGATTAACTATGGATAATGATATTGTAAAGATGTTTAATTAATTAATTTTTTTAAATTTGGAGCTTATTATTCTTTAAGAAAAAATTAAATTAAATATACTTTAGAAAATTTAAAATATGAAAATTTATTAGATATTCAAGATATTAATATACTAAAAAATAATAAAATGAAAATACTATTAAAAGTTAAATAAAAATTTAAAAATTGTCATAAATTAATAAAAGATAAAATTTTAAAGATATGTATAAAATATTAAATTTTTTAAATATTTTCACCAGAAAAATCTTCAACTGTCTCTAGTCAGTCTAATCTATTAATATTTATCGAATATAAATTTTAATCGAATGAATGAGATTAAATGTTTTTTCAAAGAGAAAATCGTCAGTGATCAAAAATGTCTTATAATATACGATTTTAATCAATTTTTTTTTGGATTTGCCAAAATGACCAACAAAATCGCAATGCGATCTCTAATTCGCAACGCGATTTTCAGTATCGCAAATTCGCATTGCATTTTGCGTTGCGATAGTTGAAAATCGCGTTGCGATAGTCTACAATGCCGTTGCGATTTTCCATTTTGTGTTGCGATAGTCTACAGTGTCGTTGCGATTTTCCATTTCGCGTTGCGATAGTTGAAAATGGAAAATCGCAACGACACTGTACACTATCGCAACGCGAAATGGATAATCGCAACGCGATTTTCAACTATCGCAACGCGAAATGGAAAATCGCAACGACACTGTAGACTATCGCAACGCGAAAAGGAAAATCGCAACGCGATTTTCAACTATCGCAACGCGAAATAGAAAATCGCAACGCGATTTTCAACTATCGCAACGCGATTTTCAACTATCGCAACGCGAAATGCAGCGCGAATTTGCGATACTGGAGATCGCGTTGCGAATTAGATATCGCATTGCGATTTTGTTGGTCATTTTGACAAATCTAAAAAAATTGATTAAAATCGTATATTATAAGACATTTTTGATCACTGAGGCGATTTTCTCTTTTTCAAAAGTTTACTTAAGAGTTGTTATTTTACTTTTAGTCGAATGAGTAAAATAATAAATATACTAAAAATAGACTAAGATTTATGAGAGACAAAATAATTTTTTATGGAAGTATTTAAGTTTTTAATATTTTATAAATATTTTTTTAAATAATTGATATATATATATATATATATATATATATATATATATATTATAGCTTATGATATTTTTATTTTATTTATTTATTTAAAATGGTAATAGTATATATTGGATAGACATGGGTCGGGTTTTCTATCAACTCGACGCGATACGAAAAATATACAGTCTCCACCTAAATCCTGATATGACTTGAATTTGATTAAACTTCATTCAACCCAAAAACTTGATCCGCTTTTGGGATAAAACTCAAACTCGACCAAAAATAAATATATAATAATCAATTAAACCTCACAATTATATCATTATCCCATATGGTCTAATACATCAACATTATGTACCATCATATTAGCATAATGAATTATCCTGTCAACACTATAATGATTCGCAATAATCTGAATACATTTACTTTTTTCTATATTTAAAAATTCCGATCAATATAAAATAAACTCAGAAACTACATTATTTTTTTTGAAAAATTACCATGGTCGTAGGTACTATTAATTTTGAAAAAAATATCAATCATTCACTAATATTATAGAAATAAATAAGCTAGACTTGCATACACAAATGAAATTACACAAACTACTAAAATAAATTTTCATTACTAATTTTAGAATTATAATTAGATATTTTTATTCATTACAAATTATTTTCACGAATCTGTAATTTGAGAAACATATTATTATCGGTTACATAGTAAAATAGATACTAAGACAAATAAAATTTTAATTATTACATAAATTTTAAAATAATTTATCATGATATGAAAAAAATATATGATTGATCAAATAATGTCACATGATTAGTACCTTGTACATTAACGGTAAAGAATATTTTAAATATCTGTTTTATTTAAAAAAATAGATTTAGAATTTAAGAACTAAAGTTTAAAATTTAAAATTTAAAATCATTTAAATATATTAAATCACATCAAATAAAATATTTTTAAATTTAGATTATATACCATTTATATATAAGATAATTTTGTAATAAACGAGTAAGTTTATTATTAAATTAAAAAAACAATCCAATCTTTATTAAAAAGCTAAAATTGAACCAAACTTGTGTAATAAAATATTAATATAGATAAGAAAAGAATTGCACAAGGAGACGAGAACAGCCATTTTATCTTTGGAAGTCGAGAAGTGAGAAATATATCAAGGGTATCTAGGGGCGCGTGGGGGATTTTAGCGTTGACGTGGCCGGGACGGGACGCTGTCGTCTGTCGGCTAATACTTAATTTTTTAAAATTAAATAAAAAATAAAGTTTTACAAAATAATTAACTAACCATATTCTATATATAATATAAAAAGGGACATGTACGATAGTAAGCTAATAAATAACAAATCAAAATCGAGAGATGTGAGAAAATTATTCGCGAACGTAGATCATATATCTAAATCTAATTCGAAGGTTTAAATCATAGAAGATTAGTGTGATT